AGACCCTGCAGCTTGGGGTCTGGGGGGTGTTCGTGGTGACTGACTGGTCATCAAAGCAAGCAACCCAAACCCGGCCCAGCGGTGTTGGAAATGGAAGGATGCCCATAACCCTTGTCGCTATTGATAGGACCGGTCCCTTTTTTTCTCTTTTCTTTTTTTCTTTCCCTCTCGGACTCGGCTTCTTTTTTTTTCTCCCGCCGTCCCGTCCGCCGGCCCCAAGTTCAATTGCACAGCGACGGCTGGCATATGCACATTTCCCAAAACGGCATGGCTCGGACAACCATCGGCTACAGCAGCTTTCCAGAAATGGAAAGAGAAAGGACCACCAGCGCGACCATGTTCCGGTTTAGCTCCAAGCGTGGCTGAATCAATCCGAGGATAGACTGCCGATTGGCTTCGCCGAGCACAAAAAAAGCAAAGAAACTGCAAGGGAAAAAAAGAAGAAAAAAAGGGGGGGGAAGGTAACCAAAAAAAAAAAAAAAAGAGGAGCTTACTGCTGTGCTATCGTGGTACCCCTAATGGGGGCATCGGGCACCTTCTAGTGAACAAACGATCAGCCATCGGCGCAATCAATATTGGAGCTTGGACACATCGTGCACGAGCAATTGAGCGGGATTGGGGGTTCGTCCCCCAAATGTAACCTCGGGGGATTGCGATGCTCGTCATTGTCGAGTCGAGATTTCCCGCTAGGGGCAGATCAGGCGACCCAAATTCCCTTGTCCGTTACCTTGGTAGCCGGGCAGCCACGGAAAGGTCCGAAGGACAGAGGGAAAGTCTCCACGATTTTACGGCGAGAGTTACCTTCCTCGGCCTATTCGCGGCGACGGCTAGGTCAAATATCTGTTAGAGCCGAAGCTTGGGCACCGGGGGGTTGGACCCTCGCTGCAGATCCGAACGCAGAATGGAGCCCGGCAATGTATACATCGTGTGTTGTTGTAGTTTTTTTTGTTTTGATGGGGATGATGATGTATCTGCAATCACCAACTCCGCAGATTGGGTCGATGGCGTCTGGTGCTAGCGAGGCGGCATCGTATAGTGCGCTGGGATCCATGCAGACTATGCGCGAGGCTGCATGGCGCTAGCGAGCCTTTTTTTTTTTTTTCCTGCCTGTACGTCCCGTCCCTACCGTGCACTGTTTTTTTTTCCTTCTCCCTGCGTTTTCTTTGCCAGCCAGGGATGGTTGCGATCCAACTTTCTGGGGGGTTGGAGCTAAGCTACCACCTAAGCTTAAAAAGCTTCAGCCGCCCTAGAGAGAGAGCTCTGCCGAGATCGTCGTCGGGCCTTACGATATTCGTCAGCGAGAAGTCACCCGGCTACTCTTGCAGCCGTCATTGTACCGAGCCCAGGAATCTTACCAGACCGGGCCTAGGGGGGGTGTGAGAGGATGCGCGCGTTGGAACAGCAGGAAAAGGGCCGGGTAGGTTCCCGGGTGGGCAATTGCCTGCTCTGCTCATTACGCCAGACTATCAATAAAACCGTGCACCCAGTAGCTTCGGTAACCTGCCGGCCTCGCCTCGGCTGCGAGACTGACTCTGTAGATAGGTAGGCGCCTACTTAGATGGTGGGATGTGGGTATAGTGTGGCGGGTTTTTATCGTGTTTTCCTTTTCTTTTTTTCCTCCTGATTCCTTTTCTCCTACTCTCCGCCTCACCTGTCTCCTTATTTTCCCCAGCCATCACCAAACTGCCCGCACACCACACGCACACACAGTGATACGGTAAGCGCCGGAAGGCTCCTCTGCACGGGCTTACCTGATCCCAGACACCTCAAATGTCTGACTTCACACCCCGCACAGCCCGCACACTTGGACCCCCTCCCCGCCCCCCCTTTCCCATAACGATCCAATATTAAGCGGTAAGCACAAGGGACCTCTGCTATGTATCTAGCAATTTTCGCCATTTCAAGATGTGACAGCTTGGCTCTCCCGCCGCGGCACGGGCCCCCATCCCGGCCCAAGGTCGGGATCCGTTGATAGAGGATCGTTAGGGATGGGTGCGTGGGTAGTGGTGACAGGCAAGTACTGTAGACAGGTAGACAATGCGACGGCCCAGAGATCCATGGGTGTCCCCGGCGGCAGCTGGTCTTTGACGCTAGCCCCGGGCTAGAGCTGGATATTGCGTGGAATCTCCCGCCTGTCAGGTCGGGCAAGGGACAGTGACGTTGTTTGTGGCTTTGCCCCCAGGGGAGGGCTAGAGCCAGCCAAGTGTCGTCGCCGCTGTCGTCGTCGTCGTCGTCGTCGTCCGTTTTGACAGTAGTTTTACGAGCCAAGGGCGGGCGGGCAATGTATTTCGTCCCATCATTTGCGTGCTTGATTAGACAAGTCACAACACGAGCCCCTGGCGGTGCCCTCCCTCGTACATGCGAAGGCCGCGCTGCCGCCCGCAGGAGGAACGCATTGCTTTGTTGCTTTTAGTGCGCAATCCCAATGTGTGCGTTGGAAAAGACCATTCGCCCAAAAGAAGCAGCACTGCGACATGCTCGGCCACCACCCCAAAAGACAGCCTTGGCAGGCAGATACCAATCAAGTCCGTCGTCTATGTGACCTGTTCAGCAGGCCAAGGTAGGCCCGGAGGAGGTACTGTACCCAGCCAGACCTTGTTGGCGCGGGGGAGGCAGCCCAAGACTGTCCCATGCTTCCCATGCCCGGGAGGGTGAAGCTGCCCGCTGCCGCGTACGCACACAAGACTCCGGGCACAGGCGGTGCCGCGAGCTGGTGGATGCCAATCTCCCAATCGAGTTGCAAGGCTGGTGCCGAGATCTGTCGCGGGAGCTGAAAGGAGCAGCTGCACATCACCGGCACTACGAACCAAGGATGGGACGAACCACACTACGTCTGTGTAGCAACCGGGCCCCAAAACGGCTTTCCGACTCCAACTGTGTGTCTTTTTTTATTCTCTTTTTTTTTGTCTTTATCCTGGCAATCCCTTAGTTTTTTTTTAAGGTTTTTTTTGACACGGGTGCCATCGATTGTTTGTGACTTCTCGTCCCAGGTATTCGCTTACCAGCCGATCTTTAGCCCCCCGAAACCGAATAATCTCATCATGCCATCCATCTGATCTTCTTGATCTTTTATGATGTGCTGGTGCACAAAAAATACCCGTATCTGCTGGCCAAGCTGTACAGCCCATAAGCCATCCGACCCCTTAATGAAAGAGTAGCGAAAAAACAAAACAAAAAAGGCTGAACATGCTCTTCTCGCAATTGAGTGTGGAGGCGTGTGGCTTTGATGGGAGGAAGGAGGGAGCCGGTGGATCGTGCTTGCCTGCCTACTAGTTGCGGCTAGTATAGGTTGGCCTGCCGGACCTGGATGCCAATTGCGACGCTCCACTGGCCTGCCGCGACCATGGATGCTCGAAAAAAAAAAGACCCCAAAAAAAAAAAAATAGGAAACCCACCAAACCTCACAGGGGCCGACCCAGCACGCCTGCATTTCCCAGCCCGCACGCAACGACAACGCGCGACACCCTCGCCCCATAGTTCCTGGCCGAATTTAGGCGATTCCCCTGTATGGACAATGCAATTGTTGGCCGTGTCTCGCTCCCTGGCGTCATTGTTCTTGGATCCCCCTCTGCTCCGCCGGCTCGCTGGCCGGCATCGAATGGCGGGGGTGTCCCTGGGACGGGGTCCCCACCTCCCCTGGCGCTGGTGCTTGTTGCTTGTGCTGTCAGGAACCCGAGCGAGCGAGCGAACGGGCGAGCCTTTCAATGGTCTGGCATGGCATCGGAGCACGACGCTCTGCTCGAGCCCAAGTGGCACTGGGGGCGATGCTGCTGGGAGGGAGCCAGGGGAGGGGGTAGGGTGTTTGCTTCGATTCGCTGCTGCTTCGCCGTCGCTTTCTCTCCGCCCGCCCCCCCAGGCCGCCATCCTGCCTAGCTAACCGAAAGGCCTGGGGGCTAACCTGCCATTTGCCTGCCCTGCACACGGCTTGCCTTCATGCTTGCTTCTGCTTGCCTGCCCGGAGCCACTCGTTGAGCATAACCCACCACCACCACAACCACCGCCATCGCCTTGCTGCTCGCTGCAGGCACGCTCTCGACCACACACCTCACCCACCATCACATCCATAGCCATCCCCCCCTCACTGATCACTTCTTGCACGTTGAAACCAGCCGGAGAATTCTCACGATCCATAATAAACCGAGTCCTTCTGAGACCATACGGCCCGCTAAAAACTCCTTCCAATCAACGGAGCGATCCTCGGATGATCAGCTATCCTGCCCTTGTGCCTGTCCCTTGATTTTCTTTCCTTTCCTCTCTCCCTCTCCGAAAGCACCCCCGCCCTCCCCTCGTGCTTTTTTTTGTCTGCCTTGTCCCCATCCGGTCTCCTCCTGCTCCTCCCACCCGAGGGACCACCCCCTGTCCTGTCTGGGCCTCTGGGCCTCTGGGACTTGGGGGACCGACTGGGCTGGCTGGGACTGGGATGCGGATGGTGTCGGGACATGGCTCCCATTACTCCATCAAAAACTGGTCTTCTGGCCCCGTTGCAGAATGCGGGTTTTCCTGGCTCCGTTTGGCGGGCTTCCTGGGCTGGGTCCTCACACCCCCAGCGTGTGTGTGTGGCAGGGTTGACATGGACCACACTCTGCTTGCTTGCTCGCACAGGGATGGGAGGAGCCCGCTGCCACCTGGCGTAGCAGTCTATCGGCACCCTTGACAAGCAGCCCAGCGCCCGCCCACCCCATGAGGGCGGCGCCCAGGGCCCCGGCTTGGGGCCGTCCACCACTACCACCGGCTGGCGGCGCACACCCCCCCTCCTTCTCCAAGTTGTCCCAAGATCACTGCAAACCCGGGAACCCTTGTCACCATCTCAATCCACCCAGCGAACCTTTAAGTTGCACAAAAGCCCCCCCCTTGGAGCCCGTCGACGAGGTCCAGCCACACCTTCAACCGCTCAGTTTCTCTATCATGGGGAGCTTGCCGTTCGTTTAGCCTGCTTCGACAGATACACACGCCTCTTTATCCATTGTATTTCCTGCTTGTCGCCTGCTTTGCGCCCACCATCACCCCCTCGCACCAGACAGGGCCAGCGTGACAGCTACCTCTATCTACCTGGCTACCGCCGCCATACCCGCCCAAGGACCCAACAGACACCCACCAAGAGTAGAGACGGGAGGTGACCGAGGACGACGGGACGACGACGACGACGACTTCGACTACGACTACGACTACGACTACGACGAATAAGAGAAAGCAAAGCAAGCGAACTACGACGTCTGCGATAGGAACAACAACAGACGCCGGGGATACCAGATACCATCATCACTAGCAGGGACCGGATCGGCCGCTTGCTGGGCTGCCACCCTGTCACCGACGCACTGTCTTGGGGTGTGAACTGGCCGAATTCTTCACTGGCCCCCCTCCTTCCGCCATCCTCCTTCACGGTTCGTGCTCCTCGCCGAGTACAAGCACGAGTTTCTCGGCTCTCCTGCAGGGCCCCGACAAGCGTTACCCACACCACAACTGGTGCCCCACGAACACCGCCGCATGCGGTATCACCAAGGCGCCCAAGGCCACTGACCCAGTCTCACGCTATAGGCGGAATCTCGTCCGACTTGGCTGCTCGATCGTGTTTGCTCCTGTACCTTGCCCAACTTCAAGGTACCTTCCCGACCGCCCTTCGGCCCCCGTGTCCGAGTCCCGCCTCCGTCGACGAGAGGTGTCTGGACGTGAACTGAGACGTGGGCAGCACCGAGGACTAACTCCGGCTCAAGACGCCGTGCCATAGCTTCCGTCCAGGGGGTGGCCGAACCAAACCGTTCCTTGCTTGTTTCCTTTCCCGTCCTCTTTTTCTGAGCCTTGCGCACCTCGAACCGACAATTCGTCTTTCCTTGCTCCGGCTTTTGAAGGCCTGCCAGCTCCGAACCCGCACTCCTGTCGCAAAAAGAAAAGAAAAAAAAGAAAAAAAGGGTACTCCATTGTCCCTGTCTCGGCAACCGGTAGAAGGTGGCGCGCGGAAACAACGGCAACCCTCCTCGTTCGCCTCAACTGTCAGTCTTTACTGGCCCAGCAGAGAAGAAAGCAGATGCAATAGCAACCTACAGAATCTTGAGTCGCGCGGGGAACTCGACGACAATCCATCCTCCAAAAGCTCATCTCTCGACGAAGATAATGCGTTTATGACGAGAAGTTCCAGCTTTGGTTTCTCTGTCAGCACCCCGCGACTTGCGAGTTGGCTCATAGCCCCGGTAGGGCGTCGCTCGTGGTGTAGCGTGGGCATCGAGGCCTCGACCCTAGCACGACGACCTGGCTTGTCCCATCATCCTCCATGCAGACTTTAAGCCACCACTCCGAGACTTCGTACCTCCCGCTCGGCCTCCGACGAGGTTTCTCCGACCCGCCGGCCCTACCATCTTTTGACCTGATCCGGACTAGCTCCGAGGCCATCAGTGCCGCTCCGCCGAGGGCGTACCCGTCTCCGCCCATGTCCGGGTCTCCACCGCTGCCTCCGAAAGCAAGCCTAGGGGTTGACGACCGGAGCCAGGGCATCTACCACACGGCCGGCCAGGATGCCCATCGCGGCATCCCGGTAGCCCACGGAGACTTTGGACTGCCACAGGTGGGAATCCCACCTCCACAATCACAAGCACGCGTCCCACCGCAGGGCCCTGCCCCGATGAGACCGTTTCCGCCAGACTCGCTGGAGCGAGTCCCGTATGGCTATCCTTGGCCGACCGACAGCCTCCACCACAGGCCACCGCCATTCCAGCCACAGCCGGCGAGCCATCACATGATGCCTCATCACCACCACCCCTATTCTCCACACCATACCCCTCGCCATGAACTAGGCCCGGCACCGAGCATGGTGGGGCCTCCGGCACCCTACTCGATGCCTCCGCGTCCCCCGACGCAGGAAGGGCAACCGTACACCTCCCCAAAGACGCAAAGAAAGACCAAGGGCCATGTGGCGTCGGCGTGTGTGCCTTGCAAGAAGGCACACCTCCGATGTGACGGTATGTTTTTGAACCTCCCCGATTCCCCCCCGCACTTGAGGGCAATGATGAGCCGAAGAAAGGAAAGAGAAAAAGAAACAGAAGCTGACTCATGCTTCCAGCCCAGAGACCTTGCTCTAGGTGCACAAGTAATGGCAAGGAGGACTCGTGTATAGATGTTCAACACAAGAAGCGTGGGCGACCACGACTTCGGGACGATAGGGAACTGCGCTATGACGTACCGGGCAGGGCAGGGCAGCCGCAGGAGGGCGGCCTGAGAAGGCCAATCTCGCTCTTCTCGCAGCCGCCTTCGATGGGGATCCCCAGTTACGACGACTCGCTCCGCAGATCTCAGTCATATCGGGTCCTCAAGTCCCAACCTTCCGAGGGCATCGCGTCGAGGTTCCTGGAGCGCGGGTCGGCTGCCAACGCCAACATTTACCCGGCACCTCTGTCCATTGCCACAAGGCCGCCCGAGGCAGCCGCGTTCCTGACGATAGACTTTACCATCGCCAAGACGTCGGCCACGTTTTCGGAAGCACTTGGTCGCCAGGCAAAGGGCATGAGGCTCGCCGAAGTGGTGGCTCCCGGCGACCAGGATCGTGTGACGAACCTCCAGAACATAATGCACGAGGAGCAGACGAGAAAGGAGCCCAACTACTTGCCACCAATATTCGGCAAGGAGGAGGAGGAGAGGGTGATTTTCGGGCTCGGGTTCAGCCAGGAGGAGATGTCGAGATTCAGCTTGGACAGGTTGGAATACCTGTCCTTCTCGGGACCCGACGGGCTACCGAGGCCATTCCCCGTCCGCGTGGGTCTCGCAAAGCAGGATTCGATATACTTTGTCGTGCTCCAGCTCGCCCTGGCCCCGCGGCCGCATGGACACCTGACGCCGTCGCCGCACTCGAGGGATCCGCGAGACGCGCCGTACCCGTACCAGGCCGCCCCTCAGCTCTATGCGCCTCAGCCAACGCCCGTGTCGGCAACGTTCGACCCGGGGAGGCCGAGGCTAGGCAGCGACGCCAGCGCCTACGGCATGAGGCAGCAGGGGCCGCAGCAGGGGCCACAGCAGGTGATGCCGGGTCTCAGCCCCGGCCTGCCGTCGGCCTACGCCGCCTCGCCCAGCCGGCCGGAATATTCCCCCAGCTCGGCGTACCAGATTCCCCGAAGCGAGCTGCAGACGTCGAGCAGACCCGCTCCTCCGCCGCAGCAGCCGTACCAGCTGCCTCCGATCCGAAGTCAGCAGCCTCAGGGGTTGGGGCCCGCGGCAGAATCGCCATCGTCGTGGTCGCGGGACGAGCGGAGGGTGGACATTGGCGGCCTGATCGACAAGCCGGATCTTTTCGCCAAGAAGCCACAATGACGAGAAAACGCCAGCAGCAGTTGGGCGCGTCGCTAGTCAAGGCAACGTGACCGGAGTTGATGGGTGATGGTTGTACTCGCTCTCACCTGCTTCCCGACTAGCAGCCTCTCGAGTCGAGTCGTGACACAACCGACTTGTTGACCATTTCCCACCCTTTTTTTTCCATCTCTTTTCCTTATTCTCTTTTTCCTTTGTTTTCCAATCCGGTGGCCGATACCCTTGCAATCATGATGTTGATACCACTGTGCGTGCGTGCGACGCAACCAGGTCTCTGTTTGTGAGCAAGCGTCGTTGATGACTTAACCCGCCCCTGGACATGCGGTGTCCCCGTCCATAATCTCCGCCTTCGCACAACGGGCGCCCAGACTCTTGCGGTGTCGTTCGGGGGAGCGCCTTGGTTGCTTTCCTCGCATGCCCGAGAAGAAGGCCCCGTTTTCCCTTCGATCTTTTTTTCTTCTTTCTTCTCTCTCGCAGGATCGGGCCGATCAAACACGGCACTTAAAGTCTTTTTGTTGTAATGCTGCCTGTAATATATTTGGTAATGCTGGAGGCGGAGCCGGCTTATTTGGCTGGATCCGGATAAGTATTGGGAGGGGAGTATTCATAATGGGGGGAAATGCAGGAGAACTTGTTATTGTTCAGACACGGCGGCGGGTAATGCTCTGCTTTTTTGTTTGAGGATAGCCCATTGCGAATTGCACCTGGTTGTTCCTCCACTCGAGTTTTTGTTCGCGCATGACTGTGATGGCTGATGGTGGGTGATGATGGCGATTACATTGATGGGATGGTAGGTAAGCAAGACACGATGTAGCACGCGTGCGTTCTTGGTGGATATGGGCAGTGATCGAACGAAAGGTGCCAACGGGGCTCGGGTCGGGAAGGGCGCAAAGGTAACTTTTCGATGGCGGCGCATGCTGGGCTTTTGTCGGTTCATCACAGACAGGGTCCGAGATGATGGGATGGATGGGTCGCCGGTTCTGTTTCGTTTCGGAGGCGCTATTCTGTGGTCCGTCCTCGCCAGATACGTGTGGGAGCGATACCGAGTAGCATGTATTCCCACCACCTAGAAAGAAAAAAAAAGCAAAGATGACGGGAGGGGTCAAGAGATGGATGGGCGATCGGGAAGAGAAGTCGTTTGGCCAGGAGGGGGGGGAGCGAGGACCGAGCGAGGACGGGCTTGTCTGTCTGGTGTTGTGACCTAAGACCTGCCGGGCTGCAGCGCGTTCGGCGGTTGTCGTTTTTTTTTTTTTCTTTTCTTTCTGGCCGTTTGCCAACTCAGGGGTGGGCGGAGGTAGAGGGCCCGCAAGGGGAAGAAGAGTGTGTGGCGGCAAGGCAAGGGGGCGGTGGTGGCCTCCTGCACAAGGTTAAAGCCAAACTACCGCCTCCCCCAGGCGTCCCCATCCTTGCTTCCTTTTCACCGGCTTTGGGGGGGTTTTGGCCGTGCATTTTACGACCAACCAAGCTGCTGCTGCTGCTGCTGCTGCTCTGTGGGAGGAGGACGGGAACGGGAATGGGAGAGACGACGCGAGTGGGAGCACAGCATGGGGGGGAAGCCGAGGTGCTGGTTGGGCAGAAGAGAGGAGAAGAAAAGCAGGAATGGGATTTGGGGGCAAAACTGCCGCCCACACCGGTTTATTGAAGGTACCTCGGTACGTAGGTAGCCAAGGTAAGTAAGTAGCAGGTAGAGCTGGCCAACCCCGGACGGGTTTGTGTTGCGCCGCCGCGTTGCGTGAGATGACAATTCCCGTCCCTCCTCTCGCATCTGTTTTTATTTGTTTCCCTCCCCTCTTTCTCTGCCCAGAATCGCATTTGACGCGCCGCGCCGTTGCAGATATAGCCCCAGGATTTCCTGCTAATGGCGTTCCCCCCCAACGCCAAAGCTTGGCCCAAGCAAAATAAGACGCCACCACGGCAACGCACAGAAAACGCGCGCCTTTGCAAAACGCCGGGTTTTCCATGAGCCCTGTGCGCGCACCAAGGAAAGATTGGGATTAGGCGGTGGTTAAAAAAGATGGGACATCGGCTATACAAGGCATTCAAGAAGAACCCCGAATAGACAAGCACAACGCATCATGGGGCGTGGCCGATGTAGTTCTAACCTGGTGACAGGTGGCAGTGAGCCCTCTGCGTCTCGTCAAAATTCGAAAAAAGGGCTGGCCGGCTCTGGTTGGTTCGTCAACTGGCCGCTCGGCCTGCATCTTTCCCGGCCGTGTCCCCCCTCATGGCGGGACTGGGTGGCGTCGTGCCGGGCCGGGAGAGAATAGGCACGCTATAGGATGGGGTTGGTTGACAGAGGCCTGTGGACTCCCATCTCCAACCACTTGTTGAAGAGGAAGAAACAGGGAAGCGAATGGGATGGATGGCACTCTCCCGCTCACTCTCTCGCCACACCCCACCGTGGCACCGACAAGGCCCGTCTGATCGGGGAATTTAATGGCCACGTGCAGGACGCCAAATGCAAGAGCCGCAGCGGATCCTCGGAGTTTATTGTCGCCTTGTTTGTATGCGTGGGTACGAGTGTGGGTGGGCCTTGGCTTTGTTTACGGAAAATAAAATGAAAAACAAGGAGACTGACTTGTTGATTCGGCTATCCTGGCGGTTCTGCATCGCATGCTACCCCAATATTCTCCGACAGGCTTTTTTCTCTCTTTCATTCTCTACGCTGCCTACCTAGCGCCCGGGTACCCGGCTTGATCCGACCTGTCACCTGCGGCTCTCCCTTAGTGTTTGGCGGGAAGATGCGGGAGCGGTGCAGCACACAACGGGTGTATTGTGGCTGGTTAGCCCTGCGTGTTACCACCAAAAGAACAAAGGCCGCACAGCCTGCGTGAGGAAGCCAACAATGATTGCGGCTTTATAACCCCGAATACCGGTACATAAATTCCGTACTACTCTTCCGAAAAGCCAACGGTATGTATCTGTGCAAGAACAAAAGAACAAAAAAAGACAAGAGGTGAGAAGCCCGCGAGATCTATGTACTCTATGAACAAATGAAACATGACGAATGAAAGGAGAAAATACAGGATAGAACTTGACTAACTCTAGCGAACATGCACTAGGCCCGTGCATGGGACTTGGTTACAATCCAGGACGTCGGGCCATTCGTTGGAGACTCCAGCATATATCAGGCAAGTGGCCATCCATCCCAAAGGAGATTGTTGTTGGAGCCAGCTGGTGGTGGTCCCATCGTCGTCAGTGTCTAGCGGCGCCTCTGTGTCGACCTCCTCACTCCTCTCCTCCTCTTCCTCGTCATAGATTTTGCCGTCGCTGTCGTCGTCAACGCCGTCATCATCACCGCTTGGCCCTTTTTGCCTTATTCTGCCCGTCGTCTGAAGGTTCCGAGTCCGGCGCCTCGCGCTTTCTAGACGGACCAGCAGAGTCGGGCTCGGCCTCAAGGTTGGGGTCGGCATCATGGTTGTGCTCGGCACCACTGCCATCGCGTTCCCTCATATCTTCTAGCTCTTGATTAAAGATGTCGGCGTCCCCGGGGTGCTCGGCGTCATGATGCGGCAAGACCTTGTCGGACGAGGAGGAGAAACCCGCGCCCATGTGCGAGAGGTTGAGCGAGGTGGACGTGCCCGAGCGGGACAGCGACCCGGCGTCGGACGAGGACTGTGACTCGGGCGATGGGTGCTGCGCCGAGCCGGCCGCGGTCGCCACGGCGGTGTCCCGGGCGCTGGGCGCGGCCGCCCCCGTTGAGAGGAGGGCGGCCTCCGGGGTGGGCTCCCCAGGGGGCGCGGCGGGGGCGGAAGCCGCCGGCGGGCCTGTCCTGCTTGGCGTGCCCGAGTCGACGCGGATGGACGGGCCTTGGGGGTCGCCCTTGGCGGAGTGGGCCGCAGAAGATTCCGTCATCGGCTGCGATGGGCGAGCTGGCTGCGGGGGCGAAGAGTGGTGGTGGGCTTATGCTTGCGGGTGGCGGGTGGCGGGAGTGACAGGCTAGTTGGGCGGGCGGGAAGGCTCTGTGTGATATGATGAGATGTGTAGTTATGGACTTGGGGGTGCGGGCTTGGGCGGGACTGGACCGAGCCGCCATGCATCAGGGGCGAGGGGAGGAGATAAGAGGATATATAGCTGCGCATGACGGCTGCCAGTCTACTGCTAGTCTACACTCGCAGCCAGCATCGAGCCAAGAGGGGGCCCGGATTTCCGACGTACGAAGAGGAAAAAAGGACGGCGAACCGGGTGGAAACTGTGATGAGAGGGCATGGCATGCAGCAGCAGATCTGGTCACACACCGCACCACACAGTTCTCGAGGACGCCCTCGGGTCTGCCTCGAGGCTTGATGGCCAGGCTGGGGTGGGGACTAGCCGGAAAGATGGCCGGAAAGCTGGCCAACATTGCGGCAGACGCCCCGGCTGCTGTCGAGTGTGTGAGCAGCCAAGGGCTGAGCACCCCCGAAGCTGGGGACCAAGCTGGGACCTGACCGGACGAGTCGGTTAGAACTGTTGGCCAACAATCTCATCCATTATTCTGTGTCTCTCATCAGGGCTGCGAGGTCGACCTGAGAATCCGCCGAAGGCCTCTCTTTTTGCAAACACGTTCTGATGGTTGATGTTGGGGCAGTGCAGCCGTGGCTCGACATATGTGTTTTGCACATTACGGATTACGCAGGATTTGGTGGCGCAGTCGGGGCAATGACAGCATTTTACGAGCGAGACCTGGAGCGGTGACAGCTATCGAGGACACACCAGAGCGTGTTTGCCTTGGTTGAAATTTATGCGTTCCAAGACAGTGGGCGCCCCCAAAAGTCTTGCCAGCGCCAAATGACGCCTCGCAGGAGCTGCCCGAAATTGCATTGTACCTTACCTCAGTTGGGAACGCCAACTCACCACGCTAAGCACAATGAATCAATCCATCACGTGCTCTCGCGACCCGTTGGTGTGAACCCATCTGCAATTCATTTATTCCACCCTGATTTTGAGACACGCGACCGACGAAACCTACCTCACTCACCAACCCGTCAACCAACACCAGGCTGACCACGTCGGTGTGAGCTCCATCCAGATGGCCCTTTTGAGAGGCCGACCTGTCCCTCGCTGCTGCGGCTGGACAGCACCATGAGCGCCATGGACATTGACCTCCCGCGGGGCACTAAGCGGAAGGCCGACGAGGAGCCTGGGGAGGCCCCCCGCAGGATCAAGGCCCTCCACCAGGATGTCGTCAACAAGATCGCCGCCGGCGAGATCATCGTCGCCCCCGTCCACGCCCTCAAGGAGCTCATCGAGAACGCCGTCGACGCCGGCTCGACCTCGCTCGAGGTGCTGTGCAGAGACGGCGGCCTCAAGCTGCTGCAGATCACCGACAACGGTTGCGGCATCGACAAGGAGGACCTCCCCATCCTGTGCGAGCGCTTCACCACCTCCAAGCTGCAGACCTTTGAGGACCTGAGCTCCATCGCCACCTACGGCTTCCGCGGCGAGGCCCTGGCCAGCATCAGCCACATCGCCCACCTGACCGTCACCACCAAGACCAAGAACGAGGCCTGCGCCTGGCGCGCCCACTACGACGCCGGCCGCCTGGCCCCCGCCAAGCCTGGCCAGAGCCCTGAGCCCAAGGCCGTGGCCGGCCGCCAGGGCACCCAGATTACAGTCGAGGACCTGTTCTACAACGTGCCCAGCCGCCGCCGCGCCTTCCGCTCCGCCTCGGACGAGTACAACAAGATCATCGACATGGTCGGCCGCTACGCCGTCCACTGCCGCCACGTCGCCTTCTCGTGCAAGAAGCACGGCGAGTCCACCACCACCATCGCCGTCCAGGCCGCCGCCTCGGTCGCCGATCGCATCCGCCAGATCCACGGCAGCCCCGTCGCCAACGAGCTGCTCGACTTCGAGACGGCCGACCCGCGCTGGGGCTTCGCCGCCCGCGGCTGGTGCACAAACGCAAACTACAGCGTCAAGCGCACCACCCTGCTGCTCTTCATCAACAACCGCTGCGTCGAGTCCACAAACGTTAAGAAGGCCGTCGAGCAGACCTACGCCGCCTTCCTGCCCAAGAACGGCCACCCTTTTCTCTATCTCAGCCTCGAGATCGACCCCCAGCGCGTCGACGTCAACGTCCACCCCACAAAGCGCGAGGTCAACTTCCTCAACGAGGACGAGATCATCCAGGCTGTCTGTGAGCACCTGCGCACCAGGCTGGCCGCCGTCGACACCAGCCGCACTTTCAAGACCCAGACCCTGCTGCCTGCCGCGGCCTCCTCTGCCGCCCCTCTGGTGAGAGATGCAGCCGCCACGCCCTCGCTGTCCGGTCGCAAGAAGGCCACTCCGGCCACCGTCCGGACCTATGAGAACAACTTGGTGCGGACAGACACCAACGTGCGCAAGATCACGAGCATGCTGCCCCCAGCCAACCGTCCGACACGAATAGACGCCGCCGCTGTCCGGACCCATAAGGACGGCCGCCCCGATGCCGCCGCCGCCGCCCCGGCCGTGGCGGGCTCGGCCCCCATGGCGGCGCCCGAGGCCATCGAGTACGAGACGGTCAGCCGGGCCGTGACCCCGATGAAGCTCGCATCCGTCAAGGAGCTCCGGGCCGCCGTGCGTGACGACATGCACCGCGGCCTCACTGACGTGCTGGCCGGCCACACCTTTGTGGGCATCGTCGACGAGCGCCGCCGCCTCGCTGCTGTCCAGGGTGGCGTCCGCCTCTACCTGGTCGACTACGGCCGCGCCTGCTTCGAGTACTTTTACCAGCTCGGCCTGACCGACTTTGGCAACATGGGCGCCATCCGCTTCGCCCACCCGCTCGACCTCCGCCACCTGGTCCGCGCCGCCGCCGCGCGCCAGCAGCAGCAGCAGCAACAGCAGGACGCCCGCGACCTGGACGTCGACACAGTCACCGAGGCCGTCGTCGACCGCCTCGTCGCCATGCGCGAGATGCTGCTCGAGTACTTCTCGCTCGAGGTCACCCCGACGGGCGAGCTCATCAGCATCCCCCTGCTCCTCAGGGGCTACACCCCGCCGCTCGCCAAGCTGCCCCACTTCCTCCTGCGCCTGGGCCCCCACGTCGTCAACTGGCAGGACGAGAAGGGGTGCTTTGACTCGTTCCTGCGCGAGCTGGCATCCTTTTACGTCCCGGAGCAGCTGCCACCGCCCCCGCCGTCACCAAAAGACGACGCAGCAGCAGACGATGGGAACTACGGGGCCGAGGGAGAGCAAGACTCCTCGGACTTGGAAAGGAGACGGAGGGAGATACGCTGGGCCGTCGAGCACATCTTCTTCCCGGCCTTCAAGGCCCGCCTGGTCGCCACAAACACGCTGATGCAGAGTGGCGTCCTCGAGGTCGCCAACCTCAAGGGGCTCTACAGGGTGTTTGAGAGATGTTGAGGAACAGTTGCAATTCTCGTGCCATTTAGAACCCTAGCACAACACTCATCATGTCACATGACAGAACACGACTACTAGAAACTGGATCATTTGGCCTGCTTTGTAAAAACAGAATGAAAGAAAAAAAAAAGCTGAATGCTGCAAATCATCAAGAAAGTTCCTATTGCTCTATTCCTCGGCGCAAGCCAATAAACCTGCAGCATAGAAAGTCTAGGAGCCATGCCGGCAAGGGCAAAGGACATTAATGTACAGTTATTTCGGTAGGTGTGTTTGGAGCCTCATGTCTTGCCTCCGAACTTGACCTCCCCCTTTTCCACCTTCTCCCCTTTTCCAGCCATCCTCCCTCGAGTCCAAACATCGAGCTGCCTAACTTTATTTGGCGCTGTCCCAGTCGGGGTTCTAATTTCGGGGGGAGAAAATGGTCACCATGTTAGCACACAAGGGAACGATAGAGTATCATTCAACCGACCCGCACTTTGCTTACCTTCTTCAGGATTACGAGTCCCTCTAGCGAGTGGTTGAGGCTGATGTACTCCTCGTCCTCGAGCTCGGCCCGCTCGCCGTAGGCCAGGAGCACGGGCGTGCTCTGCGTCTGCCACCCCGTGATGGTCTTGGGGCGGCCCGCCTGGCCAACCACATCGACGGCCTGCCCGACGCGGACGTTGACAGTCAGTGGCTGCAGGTTCTCGTCGAGCGTGACGAGGAAGCGCGGGTGCATGGCCGTGACGAGGAAGTAGAGGAGGTAGTGTGAGTCCGAGGTGATGAAGCTCTTGGCGTCGATCATGGCCACCAGCACGGCGAGCAGACCGGCGGCCGCAACTCTCGAGAGGACCTGGCGGTCCGTGTGGAAGGGGCTGATGGACAGCGTGCCCTTGCCCATGTGTAGCAGGCCCTGCGCGATCCTGACCATGAACAGGGAGTCCTGGTCGCGGTGGTAGTAGCTGGCGAGCTGCCTGAGGAGCTGCGCCAGCCGCGCGTTGTTGGTGCCCGCGCCCAGGAGACCCATGGCGAATATGGCGTTTATGGCCACTTCGTTGTCATTGTCGTGCGAGTACCTCGACAGCGTGTCGTAGACCTTCATCTGCGGGTTACTGGGGCTGACGAGTCCCATGGCCAGCGGCACCGCCCGCCGGATGTTGGCCTCGCCGTAATGCATCAGGTGGCCGAACTGCCGGAGCACCATCTCTTGCCCGACGTCCTCGCCCATGGCTATCAGGCCGATGCCAATCACGGCGTAGGCCTGCAGCAGCTCGTCGCCCTTCTTCTCCTCCGTCTCCTCCAGGTGGTCGTTGCAGAGGTGCAGGAGCTCTTGAATCTTGAGCACGGCGCCGGTGCCGGCCCAGGCGCAGATTTCGGCCAGCACAGCTGTGGGCTTGGCGGCCGGGTGGTCGACCGCCTTGAGCGTCTCCAGGATCACGTCAACCTCCTCTTGGCGGCCGAAGAAGAGCAGGCCTAGGCCTAGGGCGAGGAAGCGGGTCCACTTGTCCGTCAGCTGCGTCTTGCGGTCGTCGTCCAGCAGCGTTGTGACGATGGCCTCGCTGACCTCGGCATGCGATGACCCGACAAAGATCAGACCACAAGCCAGGGCGGCCATTGCCGAGATTTGCATCTCCTGTGACGAGTCGGTGATGATGGGCAACAGCTTGTCCAGCAGCTCCTCCTTATTAGAGCCGGCGTACGAGAGGCCCAACCCCATGATGGATGCCGTCCTGATGAGCGGGTTTTTGTGCTCCAGCTTCTCGGAATCGCTCAGCAATGCCATTGCCGGCTCAGAGTCAAGGCGGACGCCCGAATTCATGATGCCAATAGCAAGCATTGCGCCGGCCTGGATCTGCTCCTCCTCAGCATACGTGTACTTGTCGATCTTATCAAGACCGTTCTCGATATCCCACAGCAGCAGGTTGCCCATCGAGGCGACGGTCGACATCATACCCGAGTCCTTGGTCTTCCACACCCAGCTCTCCTTGTCATCAACCAGCATCATCTTGTCGTTACCAAAGCCGGCGTTGACAAAGGCGTTGACAAAGGCGGCGGCCAGGTTGTGGCGCGCCGAGTCCAGGTTGGTCATGCCGGCCACGCGGCTGCTCTCCAGGTGGCTCTTGTAGATGTCCTCGGTTGTCTTGGGCTCCAGTATGTTCAGCTCTTTGCCCAAGGCCCGGAAGTGCTCCGAAAGGCGAATGTTGCACAAGCTTTCCGTGAGCTCCTGGTTCTCCTCCGTCTCTGGGTACGGCAGCCATATCTTCTGGCGCGCAATGAGGAAGGCGAGCTGCCTCTTGACGGCCTTGTCCTGGATCTTGTCAAAATCCTCGTGGATCATGTCCATGTCGTTGAGCCGGATGGCCAGGACCATGGCCTGCGTGTGCTGCTTGTACTGCTTGTAGATGTCGTGCGCCACCTTGAGGAACTGCTCGTTCTCCGGGTAGGTCAGGAGGTTTACCATGGAGACCATGTACAGGCACACCCTGGCGTACGTGTCCTCGTCAACAAACTTGGGGAGCTGCTCGATAATCTCGAGCTCGCTCATCAGGTCGACCGCGTCCGCCTCGGCATTGCTCTTGAGGAACAGGGGCACCAGCAGCAGCGCGAGGTCGACAAGGTCCGTCGTCGACTCCTCGGCTGTGATGCGCTTGCCAAACACCTCGCCGATCTCGAGAGCAAGATGACGCACGTACTCGTGGCCCCACGAGCCGATGTCCTGCGTCGGGGCAAGCAGGCGGTACTTGAGCGTGTCCTGGCGGTCCTCGTCCGAGAAGGTCATGCCGATAACCGAGAGGACGTCGGCCAGCGATGTCTTGTCGTCGCCTGTAGGCCACGTCTCGTGCAGCTTCGTCATGGTCTCGTAGTGGGGCCTGAGGAACTTCAGCGGCTTGGGCACGGCGGTCATAGACGACGTGGACGTTTTGATGAAGTTCTTCATGGCCTCGAGCGCCGGCTTGTATAGGGAGGCATCGGACTCCTGTATTGTTTTGTCAGCAGCCGTCCACCACCGCGTCGTCCAGCCCAGGAAGCGCCATGGCGGGGGTGTTTCCTGCCTACCGTGAGCCTCTCCACCAGCATATCGAGCTCATTTTTCAGCTGCTGGTCCTCCTCGCTCAGCTCCTCGGCGGCTGCGGGCACGGGTCTGGTCAGCAACACGGAGCGCATGGGGTGCAGGACGAGGGGTGTGGCGGGGGCACACGAACAGTCGACGATCTTCTCATCCTCCTTCTTGCCGTTCAGCAACGGCTTCCCGTCCTTGTCGGTCTTGACGTCCTCGAGCTTCTCCACCGCCTTTCCCTTGCCCTTATCGGCGGCCCGGGGGCTGTCGGGGTCCGGCGCCATGGTGATGGTGGCTGGGCTGGGAGCAAAAGTCGGTTGCGGGCTGCGCGGCGAAGAAGCGGTAGCGGCGACAGGGACGGGTGTGCAGGGTGGGAGGGAGGCGAACTCTGGCAGTCGCTGTTTGGCGGGGAGGGCAGCGCGGACCGATTGAAGGTACTGCCGTGTCGCCGCGGGATTGCGAGGGTGAGTTGGGGGATGGGTGTTGGCGGTGGACCGGTTCGATAATGGTGGAGGTGGAATTCGACAGAGGCCCGCGCAGCCTTTAGCTTGCCTGCCTTGTCGTCTTGGGTTGCTGTGCGGGCGCTGCCCTGCTAGGCTGCGAGCTCCTGCGCGGCTCGCAAGCCCACTAGCGCGGCTGATGAAATGTGGGGTCAAGCTCCACCAAATCCCTTGTTGTCCGCCCAAGCTCTTGAAAAAGAATGCTCATCACATCACCCAAATACAAGTAGATGCTGTCGCGCAGCTACTTGGGAGCAACTTCATCCATCCCTCGGGCTCTATATTCTCGAGTATCTACTTTCCACGGGTTTCCATTGTGCCCTCTGTGTCTCATCAAATACCCTTCAACAAAGTCAACACGGCTTCCTGTCGGCTACTTATGTACATGTAGGCTTATTTGTGGCTGCCGATCGAGCGCGTTGCCTCAATACTCGGTACGTGTGGGATAGGTGGATTAAACTGAGACTAATGTGACATTGAAACATATCAACCAAATAACCCTCGCTTGTATTTCCTAGGGCTATCAGTCATTGTGATGATGAAATCAAACCATGGGAAGACTGAGAATCCCCCAGCCCTGACCCTTACCCAGTCGCAAGGGATTTGGACTTAATATATCATGTCCGGGTGCTTTACTGAGACTGCAAGCATTCGTTGGAGCTGAATTTGTGAACATGAAGCTCTCAGCTGCGCTTGTCGCACACCAAAGGAGGCTCGACTGGGAAGATCTAATCATATCTTATCCATCTTATCTATGGTGGATCCTCCGCACCCCTCCTCCCACGACGTCGTCCCCGAAATTTTTGGTGGGGGTTGTTCTTTGCGACAGGGAGAATCAGCAAGAGCTGCTGAAAGGGCCGGAACCAAAGGCCTCCAGGCTAGAACAAAACACACCATTACTCTGGTCTGTCACGGTCGCAAAGATGAAACTCGACTCCAAGGCAATGCGCCACCTGACGTCTGAGGACTGGCGAGTCCTCACGGCTGTAAGTCTGTCCGCCGCCCAACACCTGAGATCGCGACCTGCCTGCCCAGGTAGGTGCCGCCGCCTGCTTGCCTGTCTGCGATGTGATGCAGAATCGGGGGCTCCCTGTCTGACGCCCACTCCTCCCGCCAAAAAAAAACCCCTGAACCGCAGGTCGAAACATGCAGCAAGGGCCATGAGCTCGTCCCGACGTCCATGATCGAGAAGACGGCCCACCTCCGGGGCGGCAGCAGCGGCGCGCGCAGGAGCATCTCCAGCCTCGCCAAGGTCGGCCTGATCGCGCGTGTCAAGGAGGCAAAGTACGACGGCTACCGCCTCACGTACGGCGGGCTCGACTACCTGGCCCTACACGCGCACTCGACCAAGAAGGCCGTCTACTCGGTCGGCACGCGCATCGGCGTCGGCAAGGAGAGTGACATCATGATCGTGGCCGACGACACGGGCACCCAGCGTGTCCTCAAGATCCACCGCCTCGGCCGCATCTCGTTCCGCACCGTCAAGGCCAACCGCGACTACCTCAAGCGGTCCCGCGCAAACCAGGGGTCCGGCTCCTGGATGTACCTGTCCCGCCTCGCCGCCATGAAGGAGTACGCCTTCATGCGCGCCCTGCGTGACGAGGGCTTCCCCGTCCCGGAGCCGCTGGCCCAGTCCCGCCACACCATCGTCATGTCCCTCATCGACGCCCACCCGCTGCGCCAGATCTCGTCGGTCCCGGACCCGGCCGCCCTATACGCCGAGCTCATGATGCTCATCCTGCGCCTGGCCAGCCACGGCCTCATCCATGGCGACTTTAACGAGTTCAACATTCTGATAAAGGAGGAGAAGGCGCCCGCTTCAGACTCGCCCCCGAGCCCTGCCGCGGGTGAAGGTGCCGGCGACGCCGACGCCGACGCCGACGAGGCCGTCCCTCACATGCTTCTCTCACCCGTTATAATCGACTTCCCCCAGATGGTTTCGATGGAGCACGCAAACGCCGAGATGTATTTCGACCGCGACGTCGCCTGCATCAAGCGCTTCTTTCAGCGTCGCTTCCACTTCTCCAGCGACGAGCCGGGCCCCTTCTTCAAGGACGCAAAGAAGTCGGTCGGCGCCGGCGGGGCCCGGCGCCTTGACGCCGCCGTCGATGCGTCCGGCTTCACCAAGAAGATGCTCAAGGACCTCGACGCCGCCATCCAGGAGCAGCTTGCGTCTAGGGGGGAGGAGGGCGCGGACGCTGGCGAAAACGAAGACGAAGACGACGACGACGACGACGACGACGACGACGACGACAACTACAGGAGTGACCATGACCAATATGATCAGGATGGAAATTCCGAGAGCGGGCTCCAGCCCGATAATGTTCAAGCACAAAATAGCGATGAGGGTTTGGCCGTAGAGGGGGTATCAAGAAAGGAACCAACATTATCCCAGAGATCAGATGATGCAACTGTCGCTTCTAGATCCCTGGAAAAGGCAACAGAGCAGCTAGCAATCAAGGGAGGCGATGGCCCACCCTCAGGATAGATATCGCCCATCCTAGTGGGTGGGCAGCACAATATGACCTCCCAGTCTACATCAACGTGTCTTAATAAACCAATACGTGTCCCCTGCCAAGCCACCAATTACTCGTTTGCTTCAAGTTTGTATTCCACCCAGTGTTCAGGTTAGCAAAGCACTTCTCGAGCCTCAGTGGGATCATCTACAAGGCCCGGCACAGGATTGGAAACGTCCCATATAGAATGCATATTGTGACTCAATTACAAGGAGAGAACTGAATCTATCTAGCAGCCCTGATTGGGCCGAGGACCAAAGTCCATGGATGTACCAGGAATGAAATCAACCGAGAATAAGAATGCGCCCACATCGACCATACCTGCTCCAGAGGCTGAAAGATCCCGCCGTGGATGTATAAGCTATGATGTGTGCTGACAAACTCGTAGAAGAAAATCAGTCCGAGAATGGGTGCAAACAATGGCTCGCCCTATACATGCTAAGTCCTGTGCCGTATGGAATCTGATATAAAGCGATGAAGGAAGCCACAAGACAAATTAAAAGACTGAGCGAGCCGAGAGACATGACTGGGCGAGGCGAAGGATGCTGTGCGCTGACGCAGATGGACTCAAGACTTCTCCTTCTTGACCGAAGGCGACGAGTTGGCGGTGTCGTTGACGGTCGGCGAAGAGTCGACCACAGTCACTCCCTCATCGCCGGAGCCATCATCCGAGGCGACAGTAGGGGGCGCGGTCGAGTTTTGCCTGTCTCAGGGTTAGTAGTCTGATGGTGGCCAGAAGCAGTCATCCTCGTCAGGGATGGAATCGTACTGGTGAACACTACGACCCATTCCCTGTGATCCATGGCCGCTAAAGCTTCCATGCCCGTTTCCGGAGCGAAACGAGGGGGTGTAGCTACAACCATGTTAGCTATCCTCTCGGTAGCGTCTCGCAGCGCACTTGAGGTCGGTCCAGCTAACCTGCCACCAGCCGAACCAGAGCGTCTCATCTCGAAGCTGCCGCGTCCCTGCTGGTACATAGTTGGGTTCATGCCCACGGCATGGGTGCCATAAGCCCCAATGTTGTACTCATTGGTGCGATACTGACGGCGCTCAGCCGTGACGCGCTTCAGTTCCTTTTGCGCAGGAGTGTCCGCGTAGCGGACTTGCATCTCCTGAACGTGCGCATCAACGCCCAGCTTCAGGCCGTTGTAGTCCCTAATAATGCGCTCGCAGACCTCGCGGGACTCGAAGCTGCACGGCTTGTTAGCTAAGCCGAAGGGATCAAAACAGGACATCCCGGGAATAGGGTCACTGTCTCGTACCGCGCGAAGCCAACACCACGGCTGTTGCCGTTGGAGTCACGCAGAATCTTCGAGCTCGCAATCTGGTACGGGTGGAAGATCTGGATGAGCATCTGTGAAGCGCGTGTATTAGAAAATGCACCCAGTCAAGTCTAAAGCAGGGTGATGTGCCATACAGGCTCGGTGATATCCTTTGGGAGGTTCGAGATATAAAGGTTCGTGGACAGATCGTCTCCCTCGGCCTTGAGCCGCGCATTGAAGCTCTCCTGGAGGTGGATGTCAGTATGAACCGTTTGCGGGTGTCGGATGAGGGACAGCAAGAGAAGACACGTACCCGAGCGAATCCGACCTCGTATCCAAGGCGGTAGAAGCCGCGAATGCACCGCTCCGAGTCCCGGACGCTCTTGAACTTGGCAAAGCCGAATCTAAATCGCTGTCAGCAACCGACCATGCGAAATCGTTGAAGAATTGGACCCACCCCTTGCACGCGCCCGTCGAAGTGTCGATGATGGCCTTCGACTGGTCAACCTCGCCGAATCGCTCCGCATACTTCTGAAGGAGGTCGTCATCTGTGGTGGGATGGAGGCCGCGAATGTAAACATTCTTGTTGCCGGGAATGCGGTTGTCCAGGCACTGGTCGAGCGTCTTGACATGATCCGTGAACACGGCGGGCACGGCGCGAGGAATAGCCGGTGGATTCGTCAGGATCCGGTCAATCTCCGGGTCATTGGCAGCGGTAGCCTTGACTAGGGGGACCTGAGGAATGGCAGCAACATCAAAGGCTTGCTGAGGGGACGGGGTCGTGTAGCTCGACCGATCGACGGATGCCACCCGGGCGGCGGTGCTCCGGTCTCCGGCAGTTCCGAAGAATGGGGTGTGAGGCGCCGACTCGGTAGCCGACGTCGAGTATGAACCACGGCGGTTCTCGAGGGTTGGGAGCTCACGAGGGATTTGCGCCGCAACGCCTCCACGACCCGGGGCATAATGCTGGAGCATTCCCGCATGGTGACCTCCCATGGCGTACTGCGGAGCAGCGGTGTATTGCATTGCAATGTCTCCGTAGCCCGCCGAGATATGGGCGCCGTAAGGGTGCATCTGCGAGTACGAATTGGTGTACACGACGCTTCCATCAGAACCGCCGATGGTGCTCTGTGGCTGAATGAAGGTGGCCGCCGTGCCAGGGAGCGAGAGGGTACCGAAATGGTGCACGAACTGGCCCATGTTATCGGCGGCGGCAGCTCCGCCTGTGGGGTTCATGTGAGAACCGTCCGGGTAGCCCTGCGGGATGCCAGGGGCCCGGCGGCCATGATCAACATAAGCGGACGACATGGCTGTAATGGGGGGGAATGATGTCAGCCTTCGAATCCAAACTCAAAGCCTCATGGCGCTCTGGTCTGGCGGCATGGGAGACAGGCTGGGTGACATCTTGACGTGCATGCGCTCCGAAAATAGGGGCGTGCCGAAAAAGAAGCCAAACGACAAAGATGACGATGATAACTAGGACCAACTGATCCCAGAAATCCGAGCAGGCAATTGATGAATGGCCTACTTGAATTGGGACGGGCGATGACTTCGCCTCCCCTGGTTGCATTGTCGAAGTCCACGTTCGGGACGCTGCTGCCAGCCATCTGGGAAGAGGGACGCTGGCCGCAACCAACATGGCCGTAAAGGGAACATAGAGTTCCGTTGCAGGTATGGTACTTCATGTTGACGACACTTGACTGTGCAGAGACGCTTGTCTGGACGGAAGACCAGAGAAGGGAAGTGTCAAGTGGATCGAGAGACCGGCCGAAGCTGAGTGCGTGAAGCAAAGAACGAGGTGCGTGCGTCAGGTGACGGGCTGCGAACCTGGAAGCAAAGTCGAGAATGTCAAAGTCTGATAGTCTTGACGGTACACGCGGGCATGGCGAAGAAAGGAGGCATAGAACAGGTAGAGAACAGGCGTGTGACGTGGAGAATCAACCGTTGAACATACCTTGAATGGAGGGTACCGAGATCAAGGACTCGAAGGACCGGGGAGCAGGACGGCTTGCGGCAGGCAAGGAAACTTCAAAGTTGGGAATATTAGTACCAAAGACTCAGTGTGATGAAGCGAGTGCTGGGGGCAGTAAGAAGGATAGGTCAAGCTATCAAGCAAGAGGAAGTTCAAGAGATCGTGATGGCGTTGTTGACGTTCGGTGGCGATGCTGTGACGGGACCAAAAGCAAGAGGAGTGAACGTGTTTGTCTGGACCTGGAGGGGAGAAGGGGATTGGGCTTTTGTGGGTTTGAGAAAGATGGGAAAGCAAGTAGGTACTTGGAAGGTGGAAGCTAGCGGAGCTCGGAAGCTACAGTCTGGGTTTCCTGGAAGGAACTGTCAAGCGGTCGGAGACGAGTTCGCCCACTTCTGATGAACGCAACGCAATGCACAAAGTGCCGGTGTGCTGGGAAGCAGGCGCTAGTCCAGGAGATACAATGTTAGCAGGTGGAGCACTTTTTAGTTGTTGTCTGTTGGTAGGAACGCTCCATGTACGAGACGGGAGGTGAAGGAACTGTGGCCCGGACTTGAGAGGTAGGAACAGACAGAGCGAGAATGAAGGATTGGTAATGAGGTGACAGGTGGCAGGCAGGTAGGTGCCCAGTGGGTGGCAGCCCAGGTGGGTGGTAGGTGGGCAGGGCAGGGCAGGCACAGCCTGATTGTGCATGAAGCTTTTCTGCGGGCAGGTAGGAGGAAGGCGCGCGGGAGAAGGTTGGACTGCACTTGGCAGGAGGAGGTCTTGGCTGTTGCGAGGGAAGAGCCTCCCGGGAAACGGAAAGAGCTCAGCGAGATGCCTCCAATCGCAGCTATGCAGGCAGGCGCCTACCTATCAGACAATCGTTATGATACCTTAAGAATGGTATATCTTATGAAGGCGCGCAGCGAGTAGTAATGCTCCGTAGATGACAGGAACGGATGGCGATGGCGATGGCGATGTTGGATTGGGAAAGATGCAGACTGGGAGTGACGACTGGTTGAGGTGGGAAGAATGATGAGAAAAAGTTCTGCAGGCGAGGAAGGAAAGGTAGGAAGTTGAATGTTGGGGGTGGATAGAAGCGGGTCACCTGCAGTTTCTCCCTCTGTTGCACCTTCCCTTAACGGCTGGTTATTCCTAATGGCCGATATCTGATGGGAAAGTGAACGCGGAGGTGAGCGGAAAGAGAGGCGTGCCGGAAGTTCTCCGCCGCCCCGCCAGCTGTCGGATGACAATGGACCAAGGAGCTCGTTGTCGAGGAAGGAGCGGCTAGGCACCTACGTGCCCGGGTGCCCGGGTGTATCACAGCCCACACATCTCATCCCCGTTCCGGAGGGCGAGGCTGATGCCGTGAGCTCCGCGCCGACGGCAGCATCAGTAGATATCCAGTAGCCGATTATATGGGAAATTCACTGTGCCTAGACAAGGGATAAGCAAGAGCTAGCATAACTATTAGATTTCTGTCGAGCCGTCACGCTTTGGTCGTCTGCGTGGGTAGGTCTAATCTGAAGATTGTCGTAGCTATGCGCTCAACAGGGCTGAGGCAGGTATTTGTCAAGGCGGAGATGAAAAACAGTAAAGGCTGCCAGGTCAACACGGAGGCTCTGAAGGGGGCCAGCAGAAGATTGAATACCAGATATCGATCTGGATACCAAGAAACCACCCAAGCAGACAACCGCCTACCTACCTCTACGTACCTACACATCCAAATGGTAGGTACCGCCATGGGTGGCTAGCTAGCGGGACGTATTCATTCACAGGATATACGAACAATCGTCCCATAAAGTTCAGATTTGGATACCTGGGGTAGCTGGATGTTAACAACCCCCATTCGACATTATAAAAAGGGGGTAGAAGATGCAGGGGCCGCGACGATGTAGAGATCATTGTGGATAAGACGTCATGGATGATGCGGCGCTGCGAATCCCTTGATTAGACAGGCCCGCCATTAACTAGGTGCGTGGCCAGTTCAACAAATAATCTATGCTTATGTCCAGGAACACCGTTTCCAGCCAGCCAACTCATCGCGCCTCCAGCATACCCCGAAGCGCCGACTATGAAACAGGGGTAAAATAAATAAAAAAGTATAAACCCCAGGGCTAAATGTGACGGAAAAATCTAGAGCTGAATGTGTAAGATCGCACAGGTATAATCGAAAGGAAGGCCGCAAAATGCTCTATGTACCCTTTGAAATTCGTGAATGCATCATCCGTAGAAATAATCCCACCTGGGGCAAAGCAGAGCAGAAGCGGGTGAGGCGATGCATTCAAGACCAGACATCCTCCTGTACCGTGGGAGAAGTAGAGCGTCAGCGAGAGGTTATGAGGCGGGTTGGAAGCAAAGGAGAAAGGGGGGCGTACCTGGTACTGGTTGGCTGATCTCATGTGCTTGACGATCTCCTCGGCCTTGGCCTCAGGGATGCCGCGCTGCTCGGCCAATATCTGCGCCAGGACTGCGTTGACTTCCCGAGCCATGTTTGCGGCGTCTCCACACACGTAGATGTATGCCTTCTGGGCCAAGAGATCATTGATCTCCTTTGCCATCTCCTTGAGACGGTGCTGGACGTAGACCTTCTTGGGCCCCTCTCTCGAGAAGGCGGTGACGAGCTCGAACTTGTCGCCAAGAGCCTTCTTATACTCCTACAGAACATGAGATGACGTTAGTTGTACCGTCGCAGAAAATATTCCGGTGGTAAATCGCGGGGTCCATGGCTAGACATACCTCCCACTCGGACTCGTAGAGGAAATCCTCGGTAGGCTTCCGGCAACCAAAAAATAGTATCGTCTTGCCGACATCCAGTCCGTTCTCGGCCTGCTTGGCGCGCTCCTGAACGAAGCCCCGGAATGGGGCGACACCGGTACCCGGGCCAATGAGAATGATAGGCTTGGATGAGTCCGAGGGCAGCTTGAAGTTTGAGTGACGAACGTGAACCGGCATGTGGATTCCATCGTACTTGTTGCGTGGGCCAGTGAGTTCGTAGGTCCGACCAAACGGCTCTGGGTTCGGGTCACCGTTCTGCTTCTGCTTAAGGGCGAGGAGGTAGTTGGTAGCAACGCCACGGAAGGGGTCATCGCGGCCGGGGATCATCTGCTTCTCAACGACAGCGGTGATGGAGATCATCTTGGGCTGAACAAGGGACGAAGACGAGATGGAGTAGTAACGGGGCTGCAGCTTGGTAACGCCCTCGATGAAAGCCGAGAAGGGGATTTTGGTCCATTTCTCGCCCTTGCCAACAATGTGAAGAAACCTGGCAATGTTCAGGTTGTGCTTGGTGATCTTGTCCTGGAAGTGATCCTTGTCGCCGCCGAGTTTGGTCATCACGGCCTTGACGGCGTCATTCGGGGCGAATGCAGCTAGAGTGGCGACGAACTGACGCGAAACTGGAGCGCAGATCTCCATGTGGTAGCGGACAATAGCGTCGAACGTAGTGGGGGCTGGGAAGGGAACCTTGGCGGTCGGTTCCAGAGCCTTGACGCTGATAACGGTATGGCGCTTGTCGGCAAGTCCAATCACATCCAGGAAGCGGTCCACCTCCTCGCCCGGGTTCGTAGGCCACACAGCGATGTGGTCACCGGTCTGGTACGTGAGATTGGTTCCGCTGACGTCGACATCGATGTGCAGGCAGTTCCTGTCCTTGACGTTGAAGAGCTCGTACGACTTGGAGATGGGCGCGATGTAGGGGTTGTGGGCATTGAAGGGGCCTTTGGCGGGGCCGTCGAGATGCATCTTGTTGGGCTCGCCCAGGTAGACCTCCGGGGAGTCGGAGTCCAGGCCCTCGCGATCGACGACGCTGAAAATGGGCTCGTATACAGCCTCGCGCTCTTCCAGTCCCATCTTCTCAGCGAGTGCAGCCCACATGGGATCTTTCCAGGCCAGGAAATCCTCCTCCATGGTGCCGGCGCCGTCGTCGCCCTCGCCGGCCTCGCCGATACGGTGGGCGCCCATCTTCTCGAGGGCCTTGGTGACGTTGCGGACCATGGAGTTGTAGTGTTCGTAAGTGTTATTTCCGAGACCAAAGGCGACAAAGTTGAGGTTTCCCAGAGCGGGGTCGTTGCTCTCGCTGAAAGACACATCCTCGCCCGTGATGAACTCGTAGAAGTCGACGGCGTTGTCCGTGGGCTCGCCCTCACCATAGGTGGCAAGGACGAACATGGCAATCTTGTCACCTGGGAAGGCGTCTAGGTTCTCGTAGTCGTACTCCTCCAGATCAGCGACCATCGTCTCGAGCCCGAAGCGACTCTTGCCCTCCTTGGCGAGCCTAGAGGCGTAGTCCTCGGCGGTTCCGGTCTGGGAGCCGTAGAAGATGACGCAGTTTTTGCCCGACTCCTCCATCTTCTCCAGAATGTTTCTCGTCTTGCCGGCCTTGGCGCCATTGGCGCCAGCGAAGGAGTTGGCATAAGGATCTTTGGCGACGGCCCAGTACTTGCCCTTGGTGAAGTAGGCGACGGTACCGCAAAGGATTATGCCCAGGACAATAATGTCCAGCGTGTCGAGTTCGGCCATGTTGACGGCTGTTAGCAGGCGATCTGCTGGCGATGAGGGCTGAGGCGAGTGGGGGAAAAGGGGGAAGTGCGACGGGAGACAAAATATATGCCCCGTGTCTGAGCCCTATAAAAGCACCCAGGAAATCGGTGCCGGACCTTTTGGAATGAATCCGACGGCGAGGTCGGACGGGGAGCTCGGGGCGGACAGTAGGACAACCAGGGAAGACGTAAAATGCCGGGCCCATGAAAACGATGACCCGACCCAATGATGGGATTTTTGGGGTACCCACCCCAGGCCAGAAAAGTGGCCACGACTCGGCAAGCCCTCAATCCGTGGAGTCCGGCAGATGCACCAAGCCACATACACGTGTGTTTGCGGAACGCCGCCCAATCGTTCGACACGACCAACACACACATACACACCGGCTGTAGCGGTTCAGGATTTTCTTTTCTTATTATTACCATTATTCATTCTTATTCTCCTGGAGATTCGTTTCGGGTGTCAGCCGTAGGTTGTTTAAAGCTGTAGCAGATGGCTCAGAGCGGTATCATGTGATCATGGTCTCCCGCCAGGGAGCTGAAATGACGACGCGGAAGTAATCGGGCAGTCCAGGGTGGAAAACAAATCATACGCACGCGCCATACGACCCAAAGCTCGGGAATAACCCGAGGTTCGGACTTCCATGCCCAAAACCCCGTATCCCGGTCCTCTGACCCAAACAGGCGCCAAGTTGCCGCAAAGCCTTCGCCGCGAGGCTTCTCCCAGATAGGCGGATGGCTCGAGAAGGTGTGCGGACAGCCGGCCCGCGGAGGAAAGGACAGGGAGGGATTGGGGCAAGTTGAATCCCGGCTGTTTCCCGACCCCGATGCGGGTCTGAAAGAAATCCACATGCCCGCATCGATGTGAAGGCCGAGAGCACGGGCACAGTCACCTTTGCTCGAACACCCACGCATTGGCGGGCCCTGGCCGCAGGAGCGCCCGGGAAGAATGATGTGGCCCAAAACATAGCGTGCGCCTAGGGGGTTTGCACTGGCTCGTGTCGAGACTTTGCTTGGCAGCCGGCCGCCGTGGCCTCGGAACACCCGGGTTTTCATACTCCCGTCCAGCCTGCTCCCGACTCGCGCATTCGTGAATCGCCGCGCGGGTACGGCCGAGCTAGCCTACGGTACACACCGTTAGTCTTCGGGGCTTGGTTGTCTCTTGGTCGAGTCTGCAGACCGCCTTGTATTCCAGTCTACTAGCCGCCATCTCCACGTTTCGATGAAGAGTCGGCGTATCAGAAATAGGAGAGACATGCTCCCAGAGCTAGAGATCATCTACATGTGGGTACCTTGGTACCTAACGGCCATCCCAAACCATCTGGAAAGGTCTTGGTTCTGGATCAATGTACTCGAGACTTGGAGCGGCCTTAGTTTGCACAAGCCGTCATTTGATATTAGTACCCAGTCCAGACGTCAGCCCGACGCCCCTGGGATGACCAGTCGGGCGGGCCCGGTTCCTGCGCTAATCCTACCGATCCGTTTAATTCATTGATCCCACTTTCGATCTGCTCTATACTTACATTGATCCAGCCCGGTTACGATTACGATAGATACCCTGGAGCTGCTGAGCCCCCGGTCTACTTGGGAACGATGCTGGGCGCTAATTTGCGCGGTGTGATAGATGCTGGGCGCTGACGACAAGCATCCCGAAGAGGATTGAGCCTCCTAGCGACAGCCATGGAGCTGGGGTTGAATGAGGCGACCGCCTCGCGGACCCAGTGAGCTCATGTTGGTGACGACGCTGGTCACCATGTGCGAGAGCCCCCAAACACCCACCCGCATTGGGACCACCCAGGGGATTTTCACGCTGTTTTGGTACTCTTGGACACATGCATGTACTGACTGTGTAGAGACATCGAGATGGCCGTGTCTGGACATCAGCCCTGGGACATGGCAGTACGAGGGCAGGGGAGAGCAGGACATGACACCTGTGCATACATACTACCTCTAGACTTCAAAGCAAATGGGAGAGGACTAAGGTCGGATCGCAAGATCCAATGACAGCGTAGGGGTGCCGCGTCGGTTGATCACACAATTGAGCAATTGATCAATGATTAATGTCAATTGCCCAAGCGACGCACGCACGCACATAGGCTCCATTTCACAGCCCACCGACTTGTCGGTCCGCATGGGCCACTTCGCTCCCACACTGGCAGCTCCTCTGATAGGCTGAGCAGCGGCCATGGCCCTTGCATGGACGCCACGGCTTGCCCGCAAAGAAAGCAGCCTGCCACCAAGTTCTCCGAGGGCGGCAGCAAATGGAGACTGGAGCGGCGGCATGGGACGTGCAGATCGGATTTGATGTTTGGCGGCTGGGGTTTTCTCCCTTTTGCCAGCAGATTCTCGGCGTCGTCCCTCTAGGTTTGATCGTTCTGCATCCATCTTGACTGCCGGCTACCCGCCTGATTGCCTGTGGTTCTGACGTAGCACGACTGCGCTCATCCTGGAGAGGCCTGGAACCGGATCATGGGAGTTGAGACGGCGCGAAAATGGGTAGGTTTCTGTTCCCGCCGCGTGCCTGTTCTGGATTGCATACCTACCACCTACCTCCGGTACCGAGGCATCTACCAGGTGCCTACGTGCTGTCGGGACCGTGGTGCCCCCTCCCCTCCTCCTCCAGGCGCCGTCTGCGCTATGCTGGCTGGCTGCCCGCTGGCTTGATGTAAGCTGGAGGTCGTCGGATCTAGCCGCCCTGCCCTCGGCCGCGGCGCTTGGAGCGCACCAACCGCCTGCGCTGCCCTGGGTGCATTTTGTGCCGTGCGCGGAACGCTGCAAGATTAGCAGCTCGCGCCGTGTTTCACAAGGGCGTCTAGCGCCGGGGGCAGGCGGAGGGGGGTGGTGGTCGTTGGGAGCGAGGGGGCAGTGGGAGCTCCCTGCTTTGGCGGGCGGGCTGTCATCCAGACTTCAACCGGTCGATCCATGCTGACTTGCGGCACACACTCGCTGCCCACACTCAGCCCCGTCTCAGGCGCTGCCAGAACACGCGCCCGACCCATTGAAGTTTTCGCCCCGAGCCGTCACTCGCCTCGACGAGGAGGGTGAAGAGGCCTGGGACCACACACTGAGGCCATTCGCCTTCGACTTCCCACAGCACCACCCTCGCCTCGTCGCCCACTCGCGCGAGTCGTCCATCGAGAAGATCATCGCCCAGCAGCATCAGCACCAGCAGCAGAACCAAGGCGGGCGTGCGCCCTCGCCCGCCGGCCCCTCCGTCCTACCCGTCTCGTCCCCCGTTTCGGCTCTTTCGTCTGCGCGACTCCACGGTGCCGCCGCGCGACCTGGCGCTGCCATCGCTGCAGTCATTGAACGAGCCGTCGATCCCAAACCTGTTACGTACGGCCACCACCGCCAAACCTCTATCGTCCATGGGATCCGGCACTCGAGGAATGGAAGTCAGGCCAGCACCTCGTCCAGCCCCTTGAGTCCCCAGATGATTGCCGCCACCGGTGCGGCCTTCTCGCCAGATAGGCCCGACATGGGTCCGTATGGATTCGCCGCCGACCCCGACTCGTCATCCCTCTCGTCATCCCGCCCCTCCACCACAGCCTCGGGGACCACTCTGGTCGGCAGCCCCAATGTCCCCGAAAGGACCTCGTCCGTCGCCGATGTCGGCTCTCATACCCCAGGCCACAGAAAACCGGAGCGCGTGCACAGCGGCAAGGCGAAGCGACACCATGCACAGCACCCCTCCCACTCTTCCCGCCACAAGGACGACCAGAAGACGGTGGGCGGCTATGCCATGCATGTATTGTTCACCTCAGTAAGCCTGCACCATCCGCCGCTCGCCCCCACAGGCGAGAGACCACCCGACGGTGTGAACGGACTGACTGACACGGCCGGACTATGATAGTTTATCGCTCAAGCAGAGGAGAAGCTAAACGAGTGCATCGCTTCCTATCCCTCCGACCCGGAGCCCCAGGTTGAGCAAATATGTGGGCCCGGCGCCGACCCTTCGTTTGACCAACTGATAGTTGCCCTTGGCCACATCGCCAAGCAGAAGCCGAGGGCATTGATAGACTCCATGATGCTGTGGAGGAAGAGTAAGAGCGACGCGGCGGGGGAAGCGCGCAAGCAGCTCCAGCAGCTCAAGACCTCCCAACCAGGGGGTCCTCTGTTGAGACGGAATACGGAGCCTGTGCAGCCGCCGCCCGCAGGCGGCACCATGGCCGGCGATGGCGGCGTGCCACTCGCCACCAAACAGGAGTATGTCACCCAGACGGAGCGCCGATCTAGCGTCTCTACATACCTGTTGTGTCGCGTTCTCCACGAGGTGATCAGCCAAAGCAGTCTCGACCTCATCACGCCCGAGATGGAGGACAAGCTGGAGGACATCATTTTCAGCCAGCTGAAGGTTGCCGACACGGAGCAACTCATGATATCGCCTCTAAAGCTCGCAAACTGGAACATTTTTGCCCAGCTGCTCGGCGTGATGAGCGAGATCAACTTCACGGGTGTCGCGGGTCGGTTCATACAGGACCTGGAACGCTCGCTACAGGAGCTAGGCTCTCGGGGTTCGACTTCGCCCTCGCGGGAGGAGATCGAAGGCGGCATCGAGCTGGTTTTGGGTGGCATGAAACACCTCAAGATCGCGCTATCTCCCGAGGACGCATGGGAGAAATCGTGCGATTTCATGAGCGCGCTGGGTAGGCTGTTTGCGAGATCCCATGGCCAGAAAATCAAATCGTCTTTCTGCCAGATTCTCGAGATGTTGCTACTTCCCATCGCCGCCAAAGCCACAAACATCCATTTCACGCACCCCAAATGGGCTGACGTCCTGAGCACCATCAGCCCCCGTCTAGCTCAGATGTTCGTCAAGCCCCGTCATTGGTACTACTCATTCCCACTCACGGCTACGATGCTCTGCGTGTCGTCTCCCGAGGCCTTTTCTAGTCAGTGGCTTCAGCTGGCCTATCCCCTCCAGCCGAAGCTGAAGGACCGGTACACCAAGCCGCTCTGCCTGCAGGTCATCTCGAGGCTACTATGGACCTATCTATATCGCAACACCGACTCTCCAAGTGCTACCACCCGAAAGTTGGACGAAGTGCTGAAGCTTGTCCTCCCTACGACGGCCAAGCGAACGGCTATCTCGACGGACACGGCGGTCTCGGAGCCTCTGATCCAGATCATCAGGATAGTAGGCTTCAAGCACCCAGAGTTCTGTTTCAAGACAATCATCTTTCCGTTGGTGAATGCCGACCTCTTCTCGTCCAACAAGGAGTTGAAGGTGGAGAATCTCGACCCGGACAAGATCGTCATCGGCATCAGGGCCTTCCTTGCTGTGATGACAGACCTCGAAAGAGGTGAGCTAGGGAGGCCACCTTTTCCTCAGTACTATCCATCACCACCCCCGCCCGACCGGGCCACACCAGCGTCTCCGGCAGGGATAGTGTCGTTTAGTGGAGGCGCGCCTGGAAGTCCGCTTGAGGCACCCTCAGCTGACGAAGGTCCGTCGCGCCGCGTCATGACGGCCGTCCTGAGCGAGTCTGTCCGGGGCTACTATGTCAGGTTCTGCGAAATCCTTGGCAAGATCACCATAATTTGCGACAACACATTCGGGGGGCAGGCCGCGCTGGATGAGAAGTTCAACTCGCCAACGCCAAAGACCCCCATCGCCGATACTTTCAACTTCTCTCGGCGCGAGGAGCACCAAAACCCCTCCGACCACAAGCAGGCATTTTACGAGCTGCTTCATGTTGCCGTTCAAGCACTGCCTAGGTGTCTTGCGGTCGACATCCCCTTCAACTCGCTGATCAATCTGCTGTGTACTGGGACAGCCCACGTCCAGTACAATATCGCCGAGTCGTCGGCCACTTCGTTGAAAGCCATTGCACGGCAGTCATACGCCCAGCAGGTCACGATGGGATTTTCTAGGTTCATTTTCAACTTTGACGACAGGTACTCGACCATGTCGGATGGCGGTATGCTTGGCGCGGCACATATCGAGAACACGCTCAGCCTCTATGTGGAGCTTCTGCATATCTGGATCGAGGAAATCCGACAAAAGACGAAGAACGCAGCCGGTGGCGACCTGGTCGCGCCTGACAAGCGAGGGATGAAGCTTGACTTGTCAAGCATCTGGGCTGAAGTTGATCAAGTGGAGGCGCACGGGCTGTTCTTCCTCTGCTCTCAGTCTCGCAGAGTCCGCGCTTTTTCCATCACCGTTCTTCGTCTGATTACCGAGTTCGACACGGCCCTGGGCAAGTCGTCCGACGAGAAGGATGGTGTCAGGCTTATAGACGTGCTCGAGAATGATTACGCGCGGGTCATGAGCTTCAACGACGAGCATCTATCGGTTGCTGAAAGGAGCCGACTCCAAAGGGGCATGCAAGACAGCAGCAATCATGGCCTGATCAAACTCTGCTCCAGCGACGTCTCGTACGACACGACCCTCTGGTTCAAAGCGTTCCCTCACCTCATTCGGGTGGCGTACGACCGTTGTCCGTTCGCCATCGCCATCGGCCGGGACTTGATATGCAATCGGATCCTACAGATGTACAAGGCGATTATTCTCCTGTCGGAGCCGAGCAGAGGCCTCTACTTCGGCTCCGACCCAGGCAGCGCCCGTGCAGTCGCGAGGACTCCAACTACGCAACCAGAACTTGTCATAGAGCAGTGGAAACTGTACCTCATCTTTGCCTGCACGACAATGGCGGACCCCGGCGCTCTACCGCAACCTAAACCGCCCCAGGGGGTACAGCACGGGCGCAAGGGCTCGAACAAGACGTCTGCAACGACCGACAAGATCGTCACGGCCCGTGTTCTCTTCAAGTATCTGACCCCCATGCTCTCCGCGTCGTCCGCGTCCGTCAGGGAGGCTGTCGTGGTGGCGATGGGTTCCATAAACCTGCACATCTACCGTACGCTCCTGGAGGAGCTGCAGGGACATGTGTCCAGATGTAATGACGAAGCCAGAGCCCGGATCCACCAGCGGGCCAACAGTAGCCCCCGTCGAAACAGCACGATGGACTTACTCAGAACCGAGATAACGCACGTCTACAAGCTCACCTCACACTTCCTCAAGGACCCGACAGTCATCCAGGACGATTGGATCCTCAGCAACCTCGTAACGTACGCGAAAGATCTCAAACTTTTCCTCATGGACGGTGAAGTCCAGATGGATTGGGAATTTCAGAAGCTCAGGCGACACTATTGTGGTCTGGTTGAGGAACTGTTTGAAGGTGTCAAGCGGACCAAAGATCCGACACGGTGGATGACCTTCGAGGCTCGCAAATCTGCCTTTGCTCTGATGGAGGACTGGTGTGGCTTTTCTCCCAACCAGACGCACATACGGCATCGCGAGGACACCATGAGGCAGTCGGTAATCAACCAGCAGTCCCTGGGCGAGCGAGGCACTTTGAGCGCGGCCATGGAGATCGAGAAGCGGAACCTCCGGACGGCGGCGTTGAGCGCCATGGCTGCGCTCTGCGGCGGCCCCATCAGCGTCACGACTGAGAGCGGTGTCTCACTCCAGTTTGACCTCCGCAGAATGCTTGGCTGGATCGAGTCCATCTTCACGACTCCCAAGGGTAATGACCGCATGAAGGCCACTGGCAGGCGCGCGCTCAAAAATCTGATTGTCCACAATCAAGAATACCCATACCTCCTCGAGCACTGTATTGGGCGGTGTTACCTCGCCGACGTGCCCAAGGTGTTGGAGTGCTATTTCTGTGTCATCACCGAGGTGCTTCTCGAGTACCCCGAATACCCGGCGTCGTTCTGGAAGCTTCTCCCTCTGTGCTTGTTCACTCTGGGCAACGACCAGAGCGATATCAGGATCAAATCTGCCCGCATCCTGAGGACGCTCGAGGAACGCCAGCAGCCCAGCCGCAGCTCCAAGCTCCAGGACTTTGACATTAGCATCTCGGACAAAACCAAGGCGGTCTACAAGCTGGCGCAGTACAAGATCTCGGAGAGACTCTCGAAACAGTATACTGAGCTGGCCTTCTACTTCTTCTCGGAGCTCTCGCTTTACTTCAAGGACCTCCAGCCCGGCGCGCAGGGAAACATGGTGGCTGTAGTGCTGCCGTGGATCCAGTCCATCGAGCTCAAAGTCGATCCCAACGGTGGTCCCGTGGCACAATCCTACATGCTTCTGTCAAACCTCTTGGAGATCACTGTCAAGGCCAGTTCCGCGCTCCACAACGAGGTGCAAGCCCTCTGGCAGGCATTGGCGACCGGGCCACACCCTGGCAATGTCAGGCTTGTCCTGGATTTCATCATGTCGCTATGCCTTGAGCGCAGGGAGCAGAACTTTGTCGAGTACGCCAAGCAGATTGTTGCCTTCCTCGCGAGCGCCAACAGCAGCCCGGGGCAGAAGGTGGTTGAGTTCCTCCTGTTGCAGATCACGCCCAAGGCCATGGTCCCGAACGAAAAGAGGGAGATGATGCCGCCCCCGCCCGACGTCGGCCTGCTTCCGTACTGCGCCGATCTGTCCGACACGCTCCCTATCGGCACAAAGCAGGCAGGCTTCTCACTCGGCCAGCTGTCCATGATATTGCTTGTGGATCTCATCGTGTCCCCGGTCAAGATCGTTCCCGACATCGTGCCGGTGCTGCTACAGGCAGTCACCGTGCTGTGGGACCACTACACCCCGCTGGTCCAAGAGCAGGCACGTGAAATGCTCGTGCACCTTATCCATGAACTGGTCATCGCGAGGTTGGACGACGCAACGCCCTCGTCCGCTCGTAAACCCACAGAGGATCTGATTGACCTCATCCGCAGCCACGACAAGGCGGTAGTTTGGAACTATGAAGACAGCAACGGGAAAGCCGATGGCTCCGACCATAACGTGCCTCCAAGCATGGAGTATCTGGCAGCAGAGCTGGTCAAGACCTTCGAGGCGAGATTCCCGGGCATAAAAGAGCAGTGGGCTCGACAGTCACTGACGTGGGCAACATCGTGTCCCGTTCGACACCTAGCCTGCCGGTCCTTTCAGATATTCCGCTGTATTCAAACATCCCTCGACCAGTTTATGCTCGGTGACATGCTGGCCAGACTCTCCAATACCATCGCCGACGAGGATCCGGAGATCCAGACCTTCGCCATGGAGATCCTGGCCACGCTGAAAACACTCATATCGAGTCTCGATGCCGACAAGCTCGCAACCTTCCCCCAGCTATTTTGGACCACCTGTGCCTGCCTCGACTCCATCAACGAGCGAGAGTTCCTGGGTGGGGTAGAGATGCTCAACGAGTATCTAGACAGGCTGGATTTTTCCTCTCCAAGTGTGCAACGGCTGCTCCTGGATGGCCGGCCACCGAAATGGGACGGGTACTTCGAGGGACTGCAACCACTGCTATACAAGGGCCTCCGGTCCTCCATCTGTCTCGAGGTCACCCTCGCCACCCTCGACAGGCTGGCACTTCTCCAGGGCGACCTGATTGGAGACGAGTGTAGCATTTTCTTCGCGATTGCGGCCAATCTTCCCAGGTTCCTGCATGCCATGGACCAACCACGGCCACTGGACGAGTCGGTTGCTAGAACCGCTGAGGTTCTGCGCGGCGTTGCCGTCGAAAACAACCACTCACCCGTCGCGCTGGTTTTAACCGGATTCCTCTCGGGCAACTATCAAACTGGCGAAGAACTGATACAGGCAACCTTCTCGGCCTTCAAGGAGTCATTCTCTGCCCAGCTGGACTTCAGAATGATCGTCATGATCATGGGCTTCCTAACCAACCGGATATCCTGGGTCAAATACAAGACAACGAAGGTGCTTCACGTCATCATCTCCGAGATCGACATGAGGCGGCCAGACATTGCTGGCCACGGGTCTGATTTGCTCTCCCCGCTTCTCAGACTGCTCCAGACGGAGTATTGCATGGAAGCCCTGCAGGTCCTAGACAACATAATGAACATATCGGGCTCGTCCATGGACAACCAGCATCTCCGGATGAGTATGACCAGGCCCACTTCAAAGGCCGCGCGCAAGGAGTACGAACGAACGCAGAGTCTGTTTGGGATACCAGAGGAATCGGGCTGGGCGATCCCGATGCCGGCGAAAAAAACAGACTCGACACGGGCCAATATTCACACTGCGTTCTACATGTGCCAGAGCGTTGGGGGCGCCATGACCGATGTCACGCCGACACCCGAGGTTGAGTTCCACGCCGACGAGTTCCCATACGGCTACTTCCCGTCCGAGCGGACCGAGACTATGATGTCGGACGAGGCGCGAGGGGACGGAAATGCGGGAGACCTGGTTATGAAGCTCGATAGCCTGGATGATTTCTTTGACGATCTGACCGTCGGCCCGCCGAGCGAGGGTCGGTCCTCCCACACGGTGACCGAACTGGGGCCGGCGGACAACTACGAGTTGGGCGCGCAGCTGTACGACGAGCAGGTGCTCCCCATCCTCCACCAGGCATCTGCCAACAGCTCTTTCCAGAACGGGTTCGTGGACAGGTCGTCGCCGCATCCCCGGGATGGCGGCGGTAGCGGGCACACAAACATGATGACGCCCGGCGCCTTCAGCTTCGGGCAGTTCTCGCCGTCGCTGGGCCGGCCGGGGCTGCACTCGAGGTCCATCACGTCCCCGTCGGCGCCGGCGTCGTACCACCCCAACATGGGCGAGATCACGTCCGACGACGAGCTGTTCTCGGACGGGGACGACGAGCGGCCCAACACCGGGGCCGGGGGCTCGGGCTCCTTCTTCCTCGAGAACATGGTCAAGCCGCTCGCCCAGAGCACGAGGACCCGAATGCGGCGGCTGACGGGCAGCGGCAAGACGCGCGAGGAGCGGCAGCAGCAGGTGGATTTGATGCGATCGGAGCGGGCGGGCGCGCTTCCCCCGCAGGTGCCCAAGCTTCCGAGCTCATACCTCCGGGGAGGCTCGCCGCCATCCACAGACATGGTTTGATAGACGACGAGGAGACGAATAGATGACGCCAAGAGAAGGAAGCAAGAGGGATTCGCGCTGGTTTTTTTTTTTTCTGCTACGTTGATTTGATGATACGATACCCTCGCTAATTACGATCTTGAGCGTTTACGTTCACACGCATGGCGCACGATATACTTGCTGTTGAGATAGAGTACTAAAGGTGCCCATCGAAGAGTTTTAGGCAGACATTTTAACCGATTTGGGATGTGAAACATGTGATGACAGGATGCGAATCGAACGCACCTGGGGGCCGGCGGTTTGATTATCTTGAATGCCGCATCCCGGCGTTTAGGGGGTCATCAGTCCCTTTTGGTGCGACAGACGTCAGCACAATGGACATGGGTCGAGCCGGAGTTGCCGTGAGTAGTTTATGAGTGTGCCATAGGCAGCCCTTGCTGGGAACGTATCAGCATTGTAGTAGAAAAACAACTAGATGATAACAGCATGATAGATTCGTCAAGACCAACCCTGGTAAACATCCCGAATCTCCACAACGGAGATATTGCCCGTCTATCTTGACGACGGCTCGCTGCCCGTAGGCGCATCACAACATTTTCATCGGCCTGTATCGAGCGTAATAGCCGTACCTCGCGGTAGAGCCGAAATTGCTTTGCTGTCTCGGAGAGTTGGATTAGGTAGCCTCTAGTAGCGGTATCTGGTGGAGTAATCTGCGAGTAGTCGATCGCATTAGCAACCATGCGGGAGGTATGGAATGTGACGTTTATGAATTCTCAGACAAACTCACCCTTAGGGCTGACAACCAGACCGCGCCCCTTCTTTGCGCCGCGGTAGATGGTCTCGATAATGTCGATAAGCTCCTGCTTCTCCTCTAGCTGTTCGAGTTCTCCGCCGGGGCGGTCATGGTTAGTAGTCGAGACGGGACGGCGGAGCGCATGCTGTGACAAATAAGAGAGCCAGCTAGGGGGCAGACGTACCACGAGGGTGAGCTTGTTGTTGTTGCCAGTGCCAAAGTCGCACATGATGTGCTTGTTGCGGAAGAAAAACATGACGGTCATGGGGTCGTAGAGCTCATACATCTGGTTGAAGTCGGGCACTTGGTCGATGTCGCAGACGTAGACGGCGGCGAAGTTCTTGACCCGGTCGGCGATCTTGAAGAGCACCTCGTCCATCTTCATGCAGTCCGGGTCGCCGTCGCGCCCGAAGCGGATCACGACCAGGCGCTCGTCCTCGGACAGGATCGCCTGGTCGACGTGCCACGCCGTGTTGAGGTGGGGGAGAACGACGGAGCCCATGGTCGCTGGCCGGCTTGCTGGTGTCGTCGTTTTCGGGAGGGTTTCGTGTACGGGGGGGTGTTGGGCGCCGTTGCCGTCGTCGCGGGTTATTCACGAAGAGCCCGAGGCAGGTTGGTGGTGGTGGGCGAAGTAGGATGCCGCTCTCCGCGTTGAGGCTCGGTACGTGAGAGTTGGGCGCAAGTGTGGATACTAACCCCTGCTACCTGGTGGAGTTTACCGCGCGCCTGTCTGTCCACGCCAAGACGCTAGCGGGCTGCGAAGAAAAAAATCCAGGCGGGGAGGGCGTCACCAGCGGCAGTATTTCTGACCGCCTAATTATTTGGTCGCGACAGAGCTTGAGTGCCAACGCCGGCGCGACACAGCGAAAGAACTGAGTTTTTCTCGTTTTGTCCAATACACTGAGAAAAAAATATCGACTGCCCGATTCGAAGCAGTCATCATGGGGAAGCGGGCGTCACGCGGGGCTCCCCCGAATTCCAATCCAAGGAAACGGGTGAAGGTGGCGCATGAGGCACCAACATGTGAGGATGTCACAACAAGCCGGCAGCTTCGACAGCTCCTTGCCTTTGAACAGGACCTTGGGAAGGCCAGACACGGTGCGAAAAACCTAATGCGACCCAAGCTCCTCGAGCACATGAAGCTGTCGCGACCCTCCAACTAACTTTTCGGGTTAGGACTGCAGTCATTCAAGGTCTTCCTCGACAACTTCAGCAGTGAATCCTCCTCCGAGCGACTTGACATTCTATCGCAGTACCTGCAGGCCTCAACCCCCAAGGACCATGACGGCCCCGATGCCGTCTACCTGGAGGATGTTATGGCCACATGGAACTATGCCTCCCAGATGGGCAACGATGATGTCCTGTCAGCCGTCACCGTCGTCCTCGCGCTCCTTCTAAAAGTCGTGTCCGAAATTCTGGATCTGAGGCCCCAAGGGTTAGGGATATGTCGAACGTTGCTCCAGAAGCGCCAACTCGAGCTCCTGGCCAAGAACCTGTCAGCAGACAAGGCCAAGGCCTTCATAATATCACCGACTCTGCGCTTGGTGCGCGAGGCCGTCTGCTTCGACGGCGGTGCGCTCGCGAGAGCTTTCTTCCGCGACAGGAAGTACGCATACGACTCCCTGACAAGGAACATGAGGATAAAGTTCCTCGGCGAGGGTGTCGAAGACAGCAGGCGGACTTCGCCCCGCACCAACGCCATTCGCCTCCTCATGAGCTCTCTGAAATTTCTCCACTGGGAAGCCAAGAGGGAGCTCTTGTATGAGAGGGACCTCACCGGCGCTCTCACTAGTTCCATCAAGGACGACCCGCCCTACCTGATCCTAGAGGTGCTGGATGGCTTAAAATCTCATGTGCTCATGGACAAGCACCTGCCCGCCGAGACCAAATCAAGGCTACTGAACACAACCATGCTCACGCGCCTTGCCCTGCTCTATGCATACAGTCATACGACCCCTGGCGACGCGGAAACCCGACCCGTAGACGATGCCGCCCATGAGTTTCTCATGACCGTCTGCACATCTTCGGAGTCTGGGGCTCTGCGAACCGAGTTCGGTTTGTACCCTAAAGGCGTCGACCCCAACAACGATCAGTTGCACGATTCCGCTGCTGGGTCCGACGTCAGCTTGGATCGCATAGTCTGGGCAAACAAATTTAAGGAGGATGTTCCCGTCCACAACACCACCCTCTCCGAGTTCATCAAAACTCTACGTCCATGGAACAGCCCGAAGCAGAGCGAGCTCATAATAGCCGTCTTCCGCGCTGCGCCGGAGCTGATCGCCGACTACTTTCTGGGTAAAAGAGACTTTACCTTCGAGCCAAAGCTCTCGGCAACTTGGATTGGGTATGCGGCCCTGCTATTTAACACGGTGCAGCTGCCCCTACCCCCCTTCTTCGGGAGTAAGGAAGGGTTCTCTCCGGTGCCACCCCCGATATCTTTGGTGCTCGACAACATTCTGCCATTGCCTGTGAGCCAGAAGGTCCTCGTCAGGTGTCTGTCGCACGAATCAAAGCTGGTCTCCTTCTTTGCCACTCGCCTACTTGTACTCGCCCTGCAGAAGCTGGATATGGCCTTGCAGATGATGCACAATGCCTCCTCGACATTGGGGCCTCTGTGGTCCGAGGCCGCAAGGAAACTCACGGACGAGTTCTCGCAGAGGTGTCTGGACCTGAAGTACGCCACTACGGCTTTCCGTGGGATACCCGAAGAAGACTTGCTCTCCCGAGAGGCTGGTAGTCGGTTGCTCCGCCTTTACTACCAAGTCATTCCTCAGGTTGCCCTGCTAGCCAAGTTCGACGTATCGCCTCTGCTGGTCAACGCCATAAAACGACTCGATAGGCAAGGCAGGTCAACCCAAGACCAAGCACTCGCGCTGGTGGAACTTGAGAATCTGGTCGCAGTCGCCAAATCCTCGCCCGGGATGCGATGGTTTGCCAAGGCGAAGAGCCCATCCTTGTCGCCATTCACTTCGCTACTTAAGGTGCACCTCGAAACCCCCGAGGGCATTCTTCCCGAGACCCTGGAAAGTACCTTGGCGTTTGTGGCAACCGAACATGAGTTCTTCCTCTCTGAGGATCAAGAGGGGTTTGCCTTGCGCCACCTGTTCCTGACGCTCAACAGGTTACATGCCAGGGTTCCAATAACATCCAGCACCGAGCTCTGGGGGTTTCTTGACAACTGTTTGCAGCGATGTTCGGCAACTCCCATACGTTACATCGAGCTAGCACAGGAACTGGCTCCCAACACTAAGACCAGTCCGCTCACTGCGACCATAAACGAGCAACTGCCGTTCATCGTGCGGTCTGGGGATGCATCGGCCCTGGCTGTTGTCAAGGAGTTTGTTTCGGTCTACACAACAGTTGCTCGCGCGGCGAACGAACATGAGCCACTTCTCAAGGCACTGCAGAAGCCCGTTGGAGCGGCCTTCATCAGGAAGATGGACACCGATGCAGGTAAAATACCACTACCCGAGTCGCCGGCTACACCGGATGCCATGGCTACCACCGAGGTCGCGATCGACCCATCTCAAAAGGGCCACAAATCATATGAGGCTCTGAGTAGCCTGGCGGCCGACTCGGAAATACTCGAGCTAGACAACTCAGCGCTCCTGCGATGGACGACGCGCAGCGTAGGGGAAATCATCGACGAGGGATATGCGTCGTCTCTAGTCGCCCTGCTCTCGTCATCTCACACAAGCATCCGAAAAGAGGCCCTGACCAACATCTTCAAGATGGCAGCGAAGATCAAGGAGTCATCGCACGAGGAGAAGGACCAGGTTTGGCTGCTCCTCGTTGAGCTTGCCGAGTCATGCAAGACGGAGGTTGACAAAGGCCCTGCGCCGGGCCAGATCGTGGCTTTCGCCCGGCGCGCGCTTGATGTGCTGAAGAACCCGCTGCACTGCCTGTACGACAAGGTCAACACTTTTCTGACCCGGGGCCCTGTGTGGAGCCTGGACAGATTTCCTCTACTCCACGAGGTCCTACAGGAAGCGCCGAGCCGCGACGATTCATACTATGCGTCGGTTTCGTGGCTGCTCGGGTACCTCCTCGAGAGCCTCCACACGCCTTCGGACCTAGCCCTATTCCACAAGCGCCGGGTGTACGAGCGCATTCTGTCGTTGGCTAGTAACAGTTATATGCGGCTGCCTCTCCGGTCGCTGCTCCTGAGGATTGTCCACAGGACGACGTGCCTGGAGGGGGGGAGCACCACCCTCATCACGAGGTTTGGAGTCATCAGCTGGCTGGAGGCGCAGCGGGCCCAACGCAGTTCGGCCGTCGAATCGGAGCTGCTGAAGGCGTTGCAGCAGAGGATCTGGGACACATGTGACCAGGAGCGCATCCAGGAATGGAGCGGGAAGGGCATCACAATGGTTATTGACGATTGGAACCTCTAGGCGTACTTGTTTCATGGCCAAACGAGCCTTGTAGGTATTCTTGTTGATTGGGAATAGCATCACTGGAGTCGGATTTATCCTGCCGTCTTCTTTATTTGTGATTGGAATTATGCGACGCTTAGCCGTGCCGAGCTCACTGCAAGACAGTTCCTTTTAATTGGGGAGGAGATGCGGTGAGCACACGTAAGAGTCGCTGTCGATGCTTGTTTGCAGACAGGCGATGTCATTTGACGCCAGACCGTTGTTGGTGACCCCATCGAGTTCGGGCATCGAGAGATGTGGAGATGGCAACCACGTATCGCTCTCCAAAAGTAAAATTAACGAGCAGAGAGCGTAAAGAGAAGGGGGAAGAGGACGAGAGAAGACAGCGGTCTTGGCAATTCATTGGATCAGCATTCAGCGCACAGAGGAAGCACAGGCATTAAACCCGCTAGGTCTTGGTTAGGCACACTTGGAGTAGCTCCAAGACGGTGCGGATAGGTTCGCTCGCTGTGGGGAGCTGGGCACTTTGGGCTCAATCCCCACTGTAAGGTACCAGCTTCGCCGCAGGGTAACAAAAGGAGAAAAAAAAGGTCGGGTGCCAGCCCACGCACAGGCGAACCCTGTCTGGGATGAGCCCAGCCCAGAACGGCGGTGCAACCACCAACCCAGCAGAAGCAGGAGAGGCCCCCAACCAACTGATGCGCACATTTGCGATCTCGTGCCTCCAAACCTGCACCACAACAAGCGACGGAATCCTCCAGCCAACAGCTCTTGCGAACCACCACTCCTAGACCTTTTAGTTTTTTTCTGCCAACTGGCCTTCGCCCTTCGTGTATCATTTGCGTCCCCCAACCCAGTTCGCCTGGTCCCGTCGACGGCTCTGTTGCGCCGTCGATTGGCGTCTTCGGCTTGCGGCTTCCACACCTACCCACCCTTGCACCTGCGACGACGTAACCTCAAGCTTCTCCCGCACCGCTAGACAAGCAAGAAAAAAGAACCAAAAACAAAAATACCCAAACGACAGCCACACCCGTCCCTCTGGGAAGCAGTCGCAGTCATCTGTTGGCCTGGCTAGACTTGATCGCTCGCCTCATATTTGTGGACGGGCCAGCTCCGTGCCGCACCAGCGGCTGGCCAATTCGCTCGCGCAATCTCTGCCACGACTCCCACGTCAACTGCCTCCTCCACCCACCTCGACTCCCATCTTTCCATCTTGTCTACGCAACCAAGACTTTGTTGCTGCCGCAACCACCACCACCTGGCAAACAACCCGCTGCTAGATCCCACGCGTGCACAAGACACGCAAGCGCCCGTACTATGGCTGGCCGCTACACCGAGGAGGTTCTCCTGAACCTCCGACTATCACCATTATGTGTCCGGCCGCCGACACTGTCGCCTGCTGATGAGTGGATGGGGTATGTTTGCTTTTGTCCCCCTCCCTTTTAGTCTTTCCCTGCCCGCTAGCCTCGACCCGACCCTCGGTAGCCGGTTCCATCCTCCCTGATAGTCACACAAGCTTCACTGCGGACTTGTGCTCCCGCCTAGCTAACACATTCGCAGACCTCCCCCGGAGCTCTTGCGGACCCCCAAGACGGCAGAGAGGCCCAAGTCGTTTGAAAATGCCCTGGTTGACCAGACTAACCGTAGACAAGGGCTTGGTTCCCGCAACAACGCCAGTATGTTACCAGCCTCGTGCTCCCAATAGTCTTTCCCACGCTTCTCACCGCCACAAAGTCAGAATCTCGACGCTTACAAAATTCACAGATCCAGAAGATATCATTCTCGGCCCTCCGAGGACAAGCTTCGCATCGTCAACAACTCGTTTAAATAACAAGACGGGCGAGAATGACAAGGCCACGCGAGACCAGGAGCCTCGCGACCGCTTCAACAATCTCAGGGTCCGAGAAGCCGACAGCTTAGACGACCGCGGTGGTGATCGACTGCGGGACGGGAGGACCAACTTCCGGAGGCGCGACGACCGTGACCAGGATAGCGACGGTTGGAGCACCGTGAGGCCGCGCAAGAGCTTTGGGCACGAAGGCGCCGAGCGTTTTCAGCACGGTCGGGCTGCGTTCCGTGCCGAGCACTTCAGGGACGATCGCAAGCAGACGAGGGACAACAAGGATGATCCAGATTCGACGAAAGACCGCCCGCGCCGGAACTTTGACGGCCATGGGCGCGATCGGGATGGAGAAGACAACGAAACTTCACGCTGGAACGGTCTGAACCGGAATCGGACCGACCCTTGGTCCAGAGACAACAACCACGAAGAGCGGGATCGTGGTGACCGGGGCGATCGGGGCGAAAATCGAGGAGACCGCGATAGGCCATCTCAGCGTGAGCGGATTGACCGCGCAAAGAGCTGGCGCGATCGTGCCCCAGATGACCATCCCCGCGAGCGCAACTCGGACCGGAACTACGATCGCCGTCTTGACCGGGACCGCGATGGGCGTGTCGAACGTGAGCCGGAATGGCTTGACGAGCCGGCTGGCGAAAAGGCCGGCGGCCATACTGAGGAGGACTTCAAGAAGTTCATGGAGAGCATGAAGGCTGGCAAGGGAGGAGCCAAGAAACCTGAGAACGGCAAGGCTTCACCGGAGGATCCTTTAACCGCGAACGAGACCTCCCCTGCCGGCCAGGACAGCACGCCCAGCGCCGAGTCTGCCCCGCAAGTCAACAGCGGGCCAGATAAATTCTTTCTCAACTTCGCCGCCAGTGCCGCACTTGGCGGTGTGTCGGCTGAAGGTGACGTCAAGAAGGATAGCGCGCAGTCCAAGGCGGCGAAATCATCCAGGTTCACCTCTTTCTTCTCGGCCCAACCCCAGGCCGAGCCGGCTGCCACTGCCGCCATCGCCGGACCCCCGATGTCCGCGACTCCTCTCCATCTGGCCCTGGGCCTGAACACGAGCATTGCCACTGCTCCTCTCCCAGACACGGTCAAAAGTGCAACAGTGGGGCAGGCTGATGTTGCGGAGAAGCAAGCATTCATGGCCCTGCTTCAGAAGCTCCAGCGCCAGACACTTCAGAGCCCGAGCGCGGCATCGCCGCCTGGGACGACCCCTGTTCCCGAGACACCACCAGTGCAGCTTCATCAGCAGCAAGCGCCGCCGCCATCCCAGAAACTCCCACATCAAATTCAACAACAGCAGCAACAGCTACAACAACAACCACCACCACAACAACCACAACAACAACAGTTGCCACCGCATCTCCGGGCGCAGCCGCCTCTCCAGTCGCAGCAGCAACATATTCAGCAGCCTCTTCGCCCCCAGCAGCAGCAGCAGCAGACGTTGTACCCGCAGCAACAGCAGCAACACCATCAGCTCCAGCTCCAGCACGTCTTGCAAGACACTCGGCAAAAGCCTGCTGGTATCTCCCCAGACGTGTTTCAACAATACGGTGGGGACCGGCGCGGCCCCCAGGGTCCCATGCAGGATCTCGGTGGCCCTCGCCCAATGTCCCATACCCAGCCTCCTGTGACGCGTCCCGAGCAGATGCTCCAGGAGCTCGTAGAGCAGAGACATCACACTCCCACTCAGGGCGGCGGCCGCGAAATGACCCCCCAAGGCAACTCCCAGACGGAATTTCTCATGAAGCTCATGCAAAGGGCCCGTGCCGAACCTGAGCCTCGGCGCACCGAGGAGCTGCTTATGCAGATGCCGCAGCCGCAGAAGCAAGCGGCTAACCTGCCCATGCTGGTGAATCGCGAGCTGGATTTCCAGCGAGAGCGTGGAGGTAGCGGCTCGCAACAGCGTCCCATGCAGCCCCCAGTGATGCCAGGGATGTACGAGGATCAGTTCCATCGCCCAGACGGCGGCGATGTGCGTCTTCCCCGGCCTCAGGGTCAGCCTCAGCCCCAACAGCCGACGCAGATTCTCCAGCGCCCGCCTCCAGGCTTGGACCACCAACTCCATCCAGGTTTTATGCCCGGTGGAGGTCAGGTGCCTCCGCCTGGACAACAGCGCGGGCCCATGATTCCGCCTCCGGGTCTTGTTGGCGGTCCTGGCGGTCCGGGTGGACTGGGAGGCCCAGGCGGCCCGAACTTGCCCGTCAGCCCCAACCGACACATCCCGGGCATGTTCCCTCCCAACTTCCCGCATGGTGTGTTCCCCCCTGTGGAAGGACTGGCCGGGCCTCCCAGGATGCAGCCGCCCCCTGGCTTCTTTGGTGGCCCACCTCTGCCACCTGGACATCCCGCCTTCATGCCGCCTCCTGGCTTGGCTGCCTTCCAAGGAGGACCGGATGGGATGCCTTTCGGGACCGTTTTTGACGGGCGTGGTATGCCGCCGCCCCCTGGCGCTGGTGGCCAGTTCCGCCGGCCTTGAGCATGCAAGAGCAACACGGCGGCCCACACACGAACAGGCCATGGCAAAAATTTTGGCCGAACCGACTGCGATGTGATCGAGTCGTACTGGCATCGAAACAGACGGACATCATCAAGAGCCGCCCTTCGTTCCCCGATCTCAACAAGTGGGATTCAAACAGCAAATTATACATATTATCTCGAACCACGTTACTCTACGTCATTCTGGGTCTTTTTATGGGTCGCTAACCGGTAGATATTGCACTACCGGGCCAAGGGAGCGTGTTAATTACTCTAAACCGCGTTGTATGAGCTCTGAAAAGAAACAAGAATCATGGATTATCTCAACTTTGCTGCACCGCATCAGAGTCAGCGACGAAGCATCGAATACCCTTCTTCCACCCGTGATCTTTCCATCTTCTCTGCATCGCTTGATTCTTTTTTTCTTCTGCGGCCAAGGTTCCTGCGTGAGGACTCGACAGCCCCTACGGCGGTATTGTTGATATTCTCATTGGTCCAGTTGATGATGCGTCAAACACAAGAGGAACTTGGTCTCACCATGAGCGATGAGAGACCAGTAAAAAAAAAAAGCAACGAGATGGCAGCGGTTTATCTTAGTTTCAAACATCCTTCTACTCTTTTATATGACAATACTTGAGAGCCTGAGTGCGCCTGTACCCTGGCTCGATATCTATTCAGCTGAGCCATGCAACACGAACAGCAAATGCCACGGTTTGAAGCCAGAGCCCGCCCGCTTCTCAACATGCCCTTACCCGCGAAAGGGTGATTGAATATTCACAATCCATCTTGTCAGTGATGCGCAACATATGTCAGAGTTGGTATCTTTGTTATTACGATAGAGAAGCATGCAGAATGCTGCCACGCCGAGGTATCGAGCTGATAAAAAGCAAAACACGTACAGACGCAAGGAAAAAAGGAACATGGAAAAAAGACTCGACAACACGAATTCAGATCCAGAAACCTCCCAATAGGTATCCCATCGCCGCAAGCAAAAACAGCCGAACTCCGCCCGACGCTCGCTCTATATGATGTGAACATGGTGGTCGTAATTCGTGACTTGCGCGCGGGGAAAAGGATATGGTCATCATTGGGAGGACAGGGAAAAGTGGGAATGGGAGAGAGAAAAAAAGGAAAACGCGATGAGGTATATAAAGTAGTAAGGAGAGGTGAATAAGCGGTGGTTATGCTGCCCGAGTGCGGGACTTGTGTATGTGTGCGTTAAAAACGAGAGTGGTGTCTGTTGTGGTGCCTTGAGATGAAGGCGGGTAAGCGAGAGTGGTGCCTATAGAAGGTCGATGGAACGATTGTGGTGCCTGAAAAAGACGTCATGAACGAAGGTGGGTGTCTAAGAAGACAGTGTAAACGAGGGTGGTGTCCATGTAAGACGTGGTGTAAACGATAGCGGTGCCAGAAAAGGCGTATAAGACGTTGTAAGAGCGCCGAGGAGAGGTGTGATGCAAAACTCGAGAGGTCGATGGTGGGTGTACAAGTCGCAAGACTAGGTAGATACACCCGATGCCTGAAGGGTGGTGGTCGACGACCCCCTTCAGTTCAGCGCGCCGTCATGCCAGCAGGCCAAAGGAGGAGCCCTTCTAAGAGCTGGAAGCCGGGTTGGCGGCGTTGGCGGCGGCGGCGTCGGCGTCGGCGAGCTCCTTCTCCTTGGCGAGGCGCTCCTCGAGCTTCCTGCGCTTCTCGGCGGCGGCCTGGCGCTTGGACTCTCCCGCCTTTGCGCGGCGCTCCTCGGCCTTGTTGGCGAGTATGTAGCGGCTCGAGCCGAGGGCGGAGATGAGCAGCTTGGTGCCCGTCTTGAAGTGGCCCAGGGCGTCGCCGAGGTGCGCCTTGGCCTCGGACAGGTTGGCGCGGGCCGTGGCGGAGCGCTTCCTGGCGCGGTAGGCGCGCTCGGCCTGGGAGGCGGCCTTGAGGCGCTGCGAGGCCTGCTTGCGCGTCGTCATGAGGTTCATCTCGGTGCCCGACGTGCCCGGGCGCTCGGGCGTCGGCAGCGGCTTCTCCTCGGCGTCGGCGGCGGCCATCTTTCCCTTGGAGGAGGACAGGATACCCATTATTGTATTAGGTGTAAGTATGTAAGAAGGGGGTTTTTGATAAGTGTTGCGGCCTGCGGTGGGTGGGCAGGTGTGATGTGGTGTGTGCTGTATGCTATAACGTACTGCACAGACGAACAACGGGGTATCCTCGAACGGGGAGAATCACGGGGGTCTGCGGGAGAGAGGGAGGGGGGGGGGATGGAGGGGGGTATCAAAAGAGCGTGGGTGAGACTATGCCTGAGGAAGGAAAAAGAAGGGGAGAGAAGGGCTGGAGGCCGGGGAAGGCAGCTCATGCATATATGGCTATTATACATGTCCCAACCATGCCTCCTTACTGACGTGTCTCGGTGAGGTGGTATCCATCCGCATATTTTTTTTCTCTCTTTCTTCCTCTCCGGTTCCCACTGGCATTGGCTCTCCCCATAGTGCCTACCACGCCTGGCCAGCGTGTAAGGGGCCTAGCGGAGAGGGGAACAGGGTCGGCTGGAAAAGGCGAAATCACGCCAGTTCATGCGACGCCCATGGGCGGGCGGGGGTGGATTTCGCGATGGCCGAAGCAGGCGGATCGCATCACGGACGCCGGGCGCGTTTGCAGTTTGCAGGCAGACAGGCAGGCATGGGCAGTTAGGGCGAGAGCAGGGCGCCCATTGGCCGAGCCAGACGGGCGGCGCATGGACGGAGGGCATGTCCATACACACCACCACACACACCACCACACTCAGGGACCGCATGAGGTCTCAATCAAACAGCTGCCGATATGGCGCCCATGCCATCCCGGGCAGGCGGGCATGTCCCCTGTCGGCGATTGGGGCCGTAGTGGGGTAAAAAGTCTCAGTCTTGCAAGCTCGTCCCTTTGATGATGCGTGCGTCCCAAGTCTCCCAAGCCAGGACGTGCCGAAGTCGATTCGGGAGATGGGGTTTCTCTCGGCGCCTGGAAATTATGTCATGCCTAGGTGGCCCCTTTACATCCTTCCCGTTCTGGAAGCTAAACAATGGGACCGGAACGAAACGAAGGAGAAAAATAGCAAGGCTGCAGATCAAATGGACGCTGGGATTATTTTTGGGAGGTTCGTTGTTTCTACTACCTCTTCTTTTCCTGCCTTTTTTCTGTTTTACGGATGTGGGGTCTGTTGGTTCCGCCCAGGGAGTAACGGAATCATGTGGAATCGGCATGAAAATGAAAATGCAAAGGAAAAGAGACTGCAAAGACGTCTCGTCACTCGCCAACTCATTACAATCCACGATTGAGGAGAAGAAAGAAGCTCATACCTACCTAGCCTGGTTCATGTCGAACAGATGGAAACCTCAACCGTTTATCTGCCTCTATCTGCCTCCTTCCATTTTTGTCGGCACTTGCTAAACGAGATCCATCCCCATCTCGCCATCCACTTCGCTGCATGCGGCGGTGCTGGCACCGTCACGTGGCAGTGCATCAGTACCTGAATTGACGCAGTGTTACCCACCCAATCAACGGTTTCGGGACTGTGAGCTGGCTAGTGGCCACGGTGGGGACCACTGAAGGGACCGCTGGGCACATACAAGCAGGTGTCAATTCATTGTGTCAGGGAGGCACGATGCAGCAATCCCGCGCCTTGCCCAGCCAAGCAGCCGTCCCATCAGGCTCGGGCTATCAAGCCGCATCGCGCCAAGACAGGATAGGAAAGCCCGTTAGCAATCGGTTGAGCTTCTCCGCCGACGGCCCCCTGTCCTCGCACAAATCGACGGCACTGAATTTTTGTCTCGTAGCCTCTGTGAAAGGCCAAAAGGGCGAGGGGGAAAACGGCATGTGATCGCCCAAGCCTGAGGCTGGGGATCCATTTTCCAGAACCTGCTTCAAGCCCCGACCACGGCTCTGAGCTTTTTTTTTTTCTTTTTTTTTTTTTATCCCGAACGCCCGTCGTCATTGTTTTTCCCGAGGCCACTCTGTCTTCATGTTCTCTTCCCCCAGGCCGGCATTGATCACCTCAGCCTGTCCTAGGGCCGCCGACAAGGGCAATCTCACCGTGTCATGCCGTTTGCTGTCCCGTCATTGTAGCGCCCACACCGGCCTAGTCATTACACATACCATTGTAAATAGCATCAACCGCCTCCATTATTGTGCTACATACACAGACCAGGCATTTTTGCCGCTCCTCGACCGCTCCCCTCTTCCCCCACCTCGCGACCCTCGCTCGCCCACTCGCCCACTTGCGCCCGCCAAGCTCCGCTCCCCTGCGCCCCTGCTGGCGTCTGTGTCAGGCACCCGGTCCGATCTGGGTCTGAGCACGATAGGAGCAGGAGGAAGCAGAGGCCGGCCGGCCTTGAAACCATGAGCAGCACCGCGACTGATGGTGCGTCCGAGGACCCGGCTGCCATGCGCCGCAGGCATGGCGCCGGCCCCAAGCAGGACCCTGCTGAGGTCCCGGCCCCGGCTCCGGCCCCGGCTTCCGACGAAGCTGGGATCCCGGACCCCAAGGCTAGGAATCCCCAAAAGACGTACGGTCGTACCCCGGACGGGATCGGTATGTTGGAGACCCTCGGCGCATCGCTGCAGTGCATGCCTTCTCCCAGTGAAGTGATCAGGCACATGCTGACGGCCCGCATCTGCGCCCTAACCCCTAGTCTTTACTGTGCCGACCACCCATGACATGGTCTCGCAGCTACTGGACCCCCGCCAATCCAAGAACCTATCAGACATCATTGTCCTGGCCATTCTGGGCATCCACATCCTCGGTGCATACCTCCTCCCCGCTGATCTGAAGCGGCCCGTCTTTGCCGCAATTTTCATGTTTTGGAGGGCGTCGTACAACATCGGCATCGGCTACCTCCTGAGGGTCCAATCGAACCACAGGCTCCTTGTCACAAAGGCCAAGAAGTTGAACCTCTTTGAGGACACGTCCACCGGCAAAAACCCTCGCCCATGGCTGTACCGCTTCCTCAAGCGCGAGCTTGAGGCCAAGATCCCCGAAGATTATCGCATGGAGGATGCGCCCATCGAGTACAACACGTGGCTCGTCTTCCGCAGGGTTGTCGATCTGATCTTGATGTGTGACTTCGTCTCTTACTGCCTGTTCGCCATTGTCTGTGGCCACACCCCCGGCGGCGAGGCGCCCTGGATGAGTGCCAGCCGCTGGCTCACCGGAATCCTTCTTGTTGGCTTCAACCTGTGGGTCAAGCTCGACGCCCACCGCGTCGTCAAGGACTATGCCTGGTACTGGGGCGACTTCTTCTATCTCATCGACCAGGAGCTCACGTTTGACGGCGTCTTTGAAATGGCCCCTCATCCCATGTACTCGATCGGCTACGTTGGCTACTACGGCATCTCCATGATGGCCGCCAGCTATGACGTGCTCTTCATCTCGATCCTGGCCCACCTGGCCCAACTCATCTTCCTCGTCGTCGTTGAGAACCCCCACATCGAGAAGACGTACAACAAACCGCCTCCCCGCGTTCGTGCCGATTCCGAGCCCTCTGGCGACAGCACCGCCCTCGCCCAGATCCAGGACGGCCCCGCGGATGCCGACTCGTCGGCTGTGAGGGACTCCCCCGTGACCGTGCACAACCTGCTGGGCTTCCGCAACATGGATCTGTTCCGCATCCCCGACTACACCGTTGTGCTGATCTCTCTGTACCTGGGCACTCTTACCCTCGCCACCCCCAATACCGAACTGTGGCAGGCTGTCTTTGTTGCCCACGCCGTCTTCTGGCGCCTGTGGTTCTCCATCGGCCTTGGCTGGATTCTGAATCGCCAGTCAAAGGACAAGATGTTCACGCGTCACTTTGTCAAGTACGGCGAGAGTGCCGGTGAGGCCTGGAGGCAGTGGAAGGGCATGTACCACGTCAGCACCACAATCTGCCACGGCTCGTTCCTGGCGGCGTGCTGGAAGATGTACGAGCTTCCGGCGGACTGGACGCACGAGTGGGTGCTCCTGAAGCACGTCATCGGCCTCAGCCTTGTTGCGCTGCAGATCTGGACCGCCGTGAGCATCTACGACGAGCTGGGCGAGTTTGGCTGGTTCTTTGGCGATTTCTTCTTCAACAGCCGCGGCAAGCTGACCTACCGGTCCATCTACCGCTTCCTCAACAACCCAGAACGTGTCATGGGCTCGGCCGGGCTGTGGGGTGCCGCGCTCATCACCTGGAGTCGTTCCGTCTTCATCCTCGCGCTCATGGGCCAGCTGCTGACCCTAGGCTTCATCTCGTACGTGGAGAAGCCGCACATGCAGAAGATTTACGGCCAGAACGTGCGGGAGGAGGCCGGCCTGACCAAGTTCGTCAAGCGCTCCCTCCCACCGCCGGTCAAGGAGTGGTCCGAAAGCGTGGACCGGGTGCTGGACGACGCCAAGGCCTTTGTGGAGGAGTTTGTCGAGTCGGCGCGTCCCAAGCTTGCCGCCGGCGTCTCCGTGATGCGCGACACCTCGGCGCTGTTCAACAACTTCCCCGCCCGCCTCACCATCTCGCAGCTCAACCCGGCCATGGCAGGCCTGGACCCGACGCGCTACTCAGTCTCGGTCGAGGGCACGGTGGAGCAGAAAGCGGCCAGCGAGCGGTTTACCGGAAAGGAGAGCGTGCAGGGCCGGATCCCAAAGGACGTCAAAACGCTGGTGTTCGAGTATGGGGCCCCGATCCGGGTCAAGTGGACCGCGCCGGCCAACCACAGCAAGCTAGACTGGATAGGGCTCTACATGGTGATCGACAACAGGTCCCGAGAGGTGACCGAGGTGCCATCGCAAGGTCGCTGGGTGCCCACGTGCCCAGGCGCCTACGATCGGACGACGGACGACGGTATCGTGTCGGCGGACCGGCCGGTCGAATCGAGCCCGGATCTGGTACAGGGCGAGATGGTGTTCGAGGGCGACAAGCTGTGGTGGACCCAAGGGACGTTCGAGTTCCGGTACCATCACGAGGGCAACCACAACGTCATGTCCATCTCGGAGCCGTTCGAGATCAAGATCGGGCGCTTCGACGACGAAGAGGCGGCCGATTCCGTGGACGCGGGCGGCGCGCTGTACGAGCGGACGGTGGAGCAGGCGCTGCTCCCGCTAGTACGCAACTGCCTGGACCGCAACCCGGAGGTGGCGCCCGAGACGGTGGACGAGCCGTTTGGCAGCCTGGTCGAGCGGGACAGCAAGTACGCCAAGCGCGTGGTCTATGCCATCCGCCACATGTTTGGCGTCGAGTTTGCTCCAGCAGTTGTTCCCGCCGACGGCAACATTAGGAAGTTGGCGTGGCGTGTGTGCAACGCCAAGCAGGTCCTGGTGAGTTCTCCCTATATTCCATCTCCTTTGGCTTTCGCTGTGCTAATCTCGGTTTTGTGTCACTTTAGGCGCCGTATAGCATGTCGCGCTCCAGAGGCGCCACCACGCCCGTCAACGAAAAGTTTCCACAGACTCCGTAGAGCTGTTTTGGTTTGCTACCAGGGGAAGAGACGTCGATGTGGAAGATGGAGGGTTTAGAAGTCAGGTTGAGAGAGAACCATAGATATGTTACTAGAGCATTCGTGTTTGAGCTGTGCCTGATTAGATGTGTTTGTGAGGAGCGATCCAGGGATTTGCGTTTCGAAGATGGCATATTGTTGTGGTCCAGCTCAGCTGTATTATCAGAGTACCTAACCGCCACTTAAAATACATACTGTACCAAAGCACCTAGATAGCGTTGATCTTGGCCGGGAGCGGCGCTAGGGTCAGAAGCTCCCGTCTGGCTGCAGGTGAGCGGCCAAGTAAAAATAGCTGGCTCTCTACGGGCAGTTTCCATACTGTTTCTCTCCATGGCCCAGAGGGCACTGTGATACAGTCACCAAGGAACCTGAACATGAACATGAACATGACATGAACCCATGATGAAACATGGCCGGCAGCTCAAAGTTTCTGTCGGAGCTGTTGCAATGCTCCCGAGGCGGCCAGCCCCACCTCGACCCCACCACGAGCTTGTCCCAGGCGGCCACCCTGAATGCCTGTGTAGCACAAGCACAGCGGGCATAGCACAGCACAGGCACAGTATGTGCGGTACCACTGGTACCCAGACTCTCTGGAAGTCCCAAGAACCAATGGTGACTTCACTGCCCAACCCCGATCGATGCTCCTTTTTCTCCGCGACAATCTCACCCAATCTAGAACGACCTACTGCGCATTCCACCACCGACCCGTACCCAAAAGTGCTGCCCTCCCTGTCTCGCCCGTCCTACGACACGCGAAAGCCTAGCTGCCTAGGTAGCCGCCTGCTTCGCTCGGTACCTGACGCGGTGCCTTGCAGATTGCACCCACACCGTCCGCACCCTCTGGCATCTGGACAACACAGCCGACGCGACGGGACCGAGAGTCAGTCGAGACTGCTGGCAACACCTTTGCCAACACATCTGGTCGGTCTGGATCGTCACCACCACCCGAAAATAAGGCGACACCTTGGCCCAACCCAGCCTCGCCGCACGCACTCTGACCTGCCCTGCGCCCATCGCCACGATGGGAGTCTCGGTGATCCAAGAACAGCATGACAGTCGGTGCCCACCCGCAGGTTCCGCTCTCGCTCCTCTGTCCTCGCCCAACTAACACCCAAGCAGTCATTGTCGACACCATCAAGAACATTACCCAGGGAGATGTGAGTCTCCGCCGCCTGCCCGCTCCAACAGCCCGTATTGCGCTCTGGCCAGCCTTCTAATAGCCGCTTGGCGCTACCCCTATCCAGTGGAAAGTCCTCGTTCTCGACGAAAACTCCAAAAAGATCATCGACAATGTCGTCAAGGAAGATGACATCCTCGACAAGAATATCGCCAGTGCGCCTGCCCTGCCCTGCCCTGCCCTGCCCTGCCCTGCCCTGCCCTGCCCTGCTCCGACCCTCCCCTGTCCGGTTTCGCGCCTGATGCTGATCGGCTGCTGCGCCGGCCACCCCGTTCCGAAGCACAGATATCGAGCTGATCGAGGACAGGCGGGAGGTGAACCCCACCATGGACGCCGTCTACATACTGTCGCCGCTGCCGCACATCGTGGACTGCCTGCTGGCCGACTTTGACCGCCGGAGGTACCGCCGCTCGTTCCTGGTGTGGACCGGCGTCCTGGAGCCGCAGCTGCGCCGCCGCATCGACTCCTCGCCCGCCGCCCGCGAGCTCAAAGCCGGCTTCGAGACGCTCTCCATCGACTTTTACCCCAGGGAGTCCCATCTGGTCACCTTTCGGGACCCCTGGAGCTTCCCAATCCTATACCACCCGGCCTGCAACCACCTCGTGCGCGATCACATGGTGGCTTTGGCCCAGAAGGTTCGTTACGTCACAGGGCCGCGCCCGGCGCTCAGGCTAGCTCCGAGGCGCCACAGCCCCAAGGGCTCGGCTACAACTAACAGAGCCCCTTGTTCCACCTAGGTAACCGGACTATGCGTCACCTTGGGGGAGTACCCCAAAGTCCGATATTACAAGCCCAAGAATCCATTACACGAAGCAAACGTGCTGTGTTCCCACCTCGCCCGCTTCATCCAGGAGGAGTTGGATGAGTACTCACAATGGAACCCCAACTTCCCCACGCCATCTTCGCGGCCGCCGGGCGTGCTCATCGTGACGGATCGGTCCATGGATCTGATGGCGCCGCTCGTCCACGAGTTCACCTACCAGGCCATGGCCCACGACCTGCTGAGCATCAGTGAAGGCGAGAAAGTCTCGTACCACATGACCATCAACGAAGGCACGGCGAGGGCCGAGGAAAAGGACATGGACCTGCAAGAGAAGGACAAGGTCTGGGTCGACAACCGGCACCGCCACATGAAGGACACGATAGACAAGCTTATGGGCGACTTCCAGAAGTTCCTGGATAAAAACCCGCACTTCCGGGACGAAGGAAACGGCGACGCCACCAATCTGAACGCTATCAAGGACATGCTGGCGGGTCTGCCTCAGTTCCAGGAGATGAAGGAGGCCTACTCGCTCCACCTGACCATGGCGCAGGAATGTATGAACGTGTTCCAGAAGCACAAGCTCCCCGACATCGCGTCGGTCGAGCAGACTCTGTCCACGGGGCTGGATGAGGATTTTAGGAAACCAAAGAACATTCTGGATCAGGTGGTGCGCCTGCTCGACGACGAAGCCGTCCCTCACTCGGACAGGCTGAGGCTCATCATGGCCTACCTGATATACCGAGACGGTGTCATTCCCGACGACGTCACGAGGCTGCTGAACCATGCGTCTTTGCCGTTGCAGAACGGCGAGGTGATCAGCAACCTGGAGCTGCTTGGCGCGAGGACGACCCACGCCCTCAAGGACTTGCGACAGGTGCCTCCGCCACTCTTCCCACTCGACGTCAAGACTCTCACCAACCAAAACGAGGAGTACGCGCTATCGCGATTCGAACCCAACGTGAAGCATATGCTAGACCACGTGTGCAAGGGAACGCTGGACCAGACCTCGTTCCCCTATGTCAAGCCGCCGCTGGACCCGAACGAGGACGCGGTCATCGGCCAGGGCTCTCTGAGGGCGGCCAAGCCCAGCTGGGCTGGAGCCTCGCGTCGGACAAACGAGAACCGGCAGCGCATTCTCGTCTTCGTGGCAGGCGGCGCCACGTATTCCGAGGCGCGTGCGTGCTACGAGGCGTCGGCCCAACACTCGCGCGATGTGTTCCTGGCGACGAGCCACATGGTATCCCCCGCGCTGTTTGTGCGCCAGGTTGGTGACCTGTCGGTCGACAAGCGCAGGCTTGATCTCCCCCAGGAGCGACCCCGGCCCAAGGCGCCGGCACACCTGTTTGAGCGCGAGCGTCCGCCGCCGCCTCCCATGGGGCAGCAGCAGCGGCCGGGTGGCATCCAGGGCATACAACAGCAGGGTCCAGGAGGACCGCGGATGGCCGGTGCGCCCCCTCGTCCGCCGCCGCCGGGGGCAGGTGTTGGGGGTCCGGGAGGGCCGCGACCGCCAACAAACGCCATGAGCCAGATGAGTCTTGGAGGAGGCGGTGGTGGCGGCAGTGTAGGTGGACCCCCGAGCAATGGGGGTGAGGAGCGGCCCACCGCCTCGCCTAGCCCCAGCCCTGCTCCTTCGGCGGGAAAGCCGGAGAAGGAAAAGAAAAAGCGGAACATCTTTGGCATCAAGAAGTCGTCCAAGAGCCACGGCTGAAGAACGACGCGACCATTTTGCCGCGACGCGCGGGGCTGTCTGTGATTGGTTCCGATCTTGTTGTTGGATAGCAGCATCTCGATCTTTTCTTTTCTCCTTGATGAACCTCCACCTCGTATATCATGTACCCCTGCTCTTCTTTTCTCTGGGATATGGCATGAGCATGGCGTTGGACGGTCTTGTATCTATGTATTTTGCTGGTGGACATGAACCGCAGTCGAATCCCAGAGTTGTTCGCAAATATGTGAGGCTCAAAAGGGGTCGGTACTTTTTTAGGACCAATCACAAAGGGCCTGGTGCCTTGTCTTTTTTCCCCCATTATCTGTGAGCCGGAAAGCCGAGACTCAAAAGGAACCTAGCCGGTGAGCATACGCAAATCGAGCCCAGCGTTGATCTATCTGTGTTGTATCTGGTACACATGGGTGCGGGGAGCAGCCACTCCCTCGCAACCCAAGCTCATCCATCGCCCTCGATGGAGCAGCATCCGCGCAGCCTAGCCGAGGCCACCTCGCAAAGGCAAGGGAGGCCAGCGGAAACGGCAGGCAAGCAAAATAGAAAAAAAAGACAGAGAATGGCGCGTAAAGTTGCGCGCGACGAATGATGATGATGCGTGTAAGCGCAAGAGCAAGAAG